AAGAAGCTTAAATATCACATTGTTTCACTTACATGGAAAATCCAAAGTATAAATTTAACTTAAAGAGAAAAATTAAAGATAGGTGGTAGGACATAGGGAAATAGAATTTTTGTTTGTTTGTTTGTTTGTTTATTTTTGTCTTTTTGAGACAGAGTCTCACTATGTAGTTCAGACTACCTTTGAACTCACTATGTAGCCCAGGCTGGTCTCAAATATGGAGCAATCCTCCTGCCTCATCCTCTCATGTGCTGGGATTACAGGTAAGCCCCACCAGGTTTAATGAGATAGATCTTTTGCAAATGTTGAGAGATCAAGCAATATAGAGAGGCAGAAGAGAAGAAGAGGAAGATTAAAAAGTTAAGATGGGTACATGTACCAACTCCCCATGATAAGTACAATCATTGTGTTCTGCAAAATGTACTAATAAAAAATAAATTTTAAGCCCAGCATGGTGGTGCATGTCATAATTTTGGCACTTGGGAGGCTAAGGCAGGAGGATTGCTGTGAGTTTGAGGCCAGCCTGGGCCACATAGTCAGTGCAAGTCCAGCTTGAAATGCATAGCAAAACTCTGTCTCATGAAACAAAAAAAAATTTTTTTAATCAAAAAAGTTGAGAGTACAGCCCAGTAGTAGAGTACCCTTGAACTCATGGTAGATGTAAAGGAATTTTTGTTTTGTTTTTATTTTTGTTTTCATGTAAAGGAATTTAAGGGCTAGAAATGATTCCAGCTGCTGTGGAATTTATATAGGAACACAAGATAAACATATGCGATTGCCACATATGCCATAGTTCAAGTGTTGATTACAACTTCCTGGTACAAGCAGCACGTTAACTAGACAGTGGCTTTAGAAAGGACAAGGAAGAAGGTAAATTCTCACACAGGACAGCCCCAGAATAAACAAAGCCGGGAGGAACTGGAAATGGTGAAGGCAAGCAAAGGAGACCAATCAAAGGAGGGATCAGGCAAGAGGAGGGCAGAAAGTGAAGTATTAAAGTCAACTAAGAATATATTAATACAACTTCAAGGCAAAAGGGTGTGAACTTCACCTGTGGCTAAGGTAGAAACCAATTTTTTAAGAGAGGATAACGTGACTAATCTGTTGGCGCTGTGCAGAAGTCTGAGTGTGACAGTCCAGGTTGGGCTTAAATTTAGTGCCGGAACAATGCAGGTGGTAACGCCATCAATACAGGAGGCAACAGAAAAGTTTTGCAGGCTTGGAGTTTTGCTGAGTGTATTTGATAGAAGAGGGAAAGCTGTTGGAAATTATTTCTGATTATGGAGTTGGATTAAAAAAATGACACTTAATGAAATTGAAAAAGGCAAACTCTGAAAATAAGTTCATGGATAAGGTGATGAATTTTTTTCACTTGACTGCATTTGAGAAGATGATAAATTTGATAACTGGTTAAAAACTGGAACAAAAGGTTCTAGAGGAAAATTAGGGAGACACAGAATTTCTGTTAATGCTATCAGTGTACTTCCTCTCCTCTCCTCTCCTCTCCTCTCCTCTCCTCTCCTCTCCTCTCCTCTCCTCTCCTCTCCTCTCTTTTCCTCTCTTTCCCTCCCTTCCTCTTTCCTTTCCTTTCCTTTCCTTTCCTTTCCTTTCCTTTCCTTTCCTTTCCTTCCCTTTCTCCTGCCTGTGAATAAAGAATGTACATTGGAATTGTCAGTCTACTTTTGTTCCAAGAGTCTGAGCTTTTTGATTCCTGTAGTGAGAGTTGGGGAGGAGGGTGTGTGTAGAAAGATGGAGGCAGTGGGGACACTAGTGGATGATGCACTGTGACCCTTGCAAGCAAGATATTTGGCATTTGTTAACCATGTGCTGGTTCTGCCTTTCTCTATTATAGGAATGTGGAGTTAGCCTGGGTGTTGGTGCTTATATCTGTGTGGTTTGGGAAAGCAGGTGACAGAACTGGCTCTTCTTAAAGGTTCTACTCATGATATCCATGTGAACTAGGCATTTCTTAAATAAGAAGGCAGCAATACCTAAAATAAAATACTACATTTCATAAGAGAGAAGTAATCAGAAAGAAGTAAGAGGACAGATTAGTGAATCAGCATGGATCCAAGGGAAAAAAGGATCCTAAACAGGGAAGCCCTTTGCTCCACAAAAAAATAGGGAAAAACAAGCACAAAGAATAACAAAACCAGCACAGATCCATCTCCTAATTGCCAGCTGCAATTGCACTTCTCTCCAAGGCTGCATTAAAAAGGTAGAGTGCTTTTCACACAGGTCACACAATTTGCATTGTCTGTTCTCATTTGTGTGCATTTCTGTGATAGTACCAGCATCTCCCTCCTTACTTCTGTGCTTTGGATACCCATAGTTCTACTGTCTGTGGTCTGTCTTAGAGAAGAAATTAGTTTGTGCTGTTCTTGGGCTAGAGCAGCACATAGTTTGGTCTGATTACTTTTCTTTCATTGCTGAAACAAAATACCAGATACTCAAAATTAAGGAAAGAAAGGTTTGGTTAGCTCACCGTTTGTGGAATTTTCAGCCTATATTCCACTGGCTCCAAGGCAGGGAGGTGTAGCAGAGGGGCAACAGTTGATGGTAGCAGAAGACAGCAAAAGCACCAAGAGAAAAAAAGGAGGAGTGCCAGAGAGGATTCTTTCTACCCTTTATATTGTGTGTAGGCCACACCAAACCTAGGGTAGATGTAGCACACCCAGAATCCCAGCATTGGACCACAATACACACTCTAGATTCAATCACCTCCGAAAAGTACCTCTCTGGACATGAGGCTGTGAGGGACATCCAGACACAAACCATAACAGAGTTTTACTCAATAAATGTTGGTTGTATGAATGTTTTAAAATATTTCCAGAAATTGTGACATAGAAATTTACACTGCAGGTGATACCATATGCCTGTGCATGTGATACCATATGCCTTGGTCAGAAAACTAATAAGTTGTGCAAGGACACTTAACTTGCATCTTATATCAAAGCCCAACTGAACTGTAACTAAAGTGAATTTTATGTGTATGAAGAAAATGAGCTAAGTCATCTTTGACTTTATATGACTGACTTGAAATTAGGTATTTGGAAAGGAATAACAACACTCTAAAGCATCAGTTACTGGGAAGTAGTTCATTCGGAGAAGGCCTCTCTGAGACCCAGATAACCTGGGGGAGGAGACGCCACTCCATGAAGGGGAGCAGGTGACAGGGCATACGGTGTGCGTGTGCTGGAGGGGTCTGAGGTACAACAGTGTGGCTGGCATAGTGGAGCACAGGGAGCAAGCAAAGAGCAGTGAGAGATGAGGGAAGAGAGATGCTGGCACTGCATTATGAGGGCTGTATGGGCTGTATCGACCTCTGCAGAAGAGTACCACAGAGAGGCAGGAGCAGAGGCAGGTGGGAGGTGACAAAGCCAGCGAAGACTCACCACAGGTGAGAGACGGAGCCAAGTGGAGGTGGTGGCAGAGAGCTGAGGGAGAGTGGCCATATTTTGGATGTGTTGTCAAAGCGGAGTTGACAGGACTTGCTAAGGGACTGGGATGGAATGCGAGGGCAAGTAAGGAATCAGGGGTGTCTCCAAGATGTGTTTTTACTAAATTTATTTTATAGTAGTTTTGGAGTCACAGAAAAATTGAGAACATAGTACAGAGTTCTCAAATATTCCTATTAATAACACCTTACATAAGTATGGTACATGTGTTACAAATAATGAACCAATATCAGTACACTATTATTATTATCTAAAGTTAATACTTGTGTTCATTTTTATTAGTTTTTAGCTGACGTTCACTTTCTATTCTAGGATTTCATCAAGGAAGCAATGGGAGATTGCATGTACAAGCAGTAGATGCCTAAAGCATAAGTAAAATGTCTGATCCACAACCTGTAGCCCCTAAAGCAATGGTCTCAAACAGCCAGAATTTAATTAATAATGGACAACTTCCCTAATTTTTGCTCCAGCTTCCAATTCAAGACCAATTAAAGAAACTCAAATACATACCTCTAACCAGTCACATGGGATATTCTGCTTCTGGTCAGCCTACCAACAGCTTCCCCATGCTAGGACCAAAATTTCAATACAAGCTGTGTGGCATCAAAGTTAATGGCATAAGCAGAGCACACCCAGCTCCTTCTTTTTCCCTCACTGAAAAACTTTTGTACTGGGGCTGGGGATTTAGCTCAGCGGCATAAGCACCTGCCTTGCAAGCAGGTAGTCGTGAGTTCAATCCCTGGTACCAATAAAAACGAAAAACTTTTGTACTGCTATAAGTCTCTGCCTTTGAATCTCTGTAAACCAAGCAATGTGGCCCAGTACCTTGCTTTCAACACTGAATAGCCTTTCCTGGCTTTCATTGTGTGATCCTGGTTTCCATACTGCATTATGCTTAGCTGTCATTGTCTTCTTAGACCCCTCTGGGATGTGACAATTTGTTAGACTTCCCTTATTTTCTATGATCTCTAGAATAAACAACTTATAACACTTAGAAATATGTTATATTAATAGTGTTTCCTTGGTCAGAAAACTAATTTTAGTTGCATGGTTTCTTGTCCAAAGTTAAACTGTGGATTTTCCTACAGGTACATATTTATTCTGCTTCCTACAAGAATATTTTTAGTGGAAACTTAGGTTTGAGGGAAGAAAAAGGAGATTCTTAAGAAGACATTTTGTGATTTGTGTACTGCACATGAATCTTAATAGGAAATCTAACTCCACTGAAAAATGGTCATGGAGTATGCATGTAAAAATTTGAATGTAGCAGGATTTTAAAACCAATATGTTACCATTAATAAGCTGAGAAATGAATAGAAAATAGAAGTATGTACATTCAACAATAATACAAAGTGAAACAATTTTATGGTAGAAAAAACTTTGATCTAATTCTTAAAAAATGAGAAATCTTTGCTAGCAAAGTGGAAAGATGACCTGGCCTGTGGGTCAATCCGGATCTGCGGGGCAGTTTCCTGGAGAAGGAACGGGGATTAACACAAACAGGGCTGGAGACAGAGAGACAGAGACAAGTCGAGGAAGTCCAATCAAGACTCATTTATTGATAAAGTGGTCGCTGCTTTTATAGGGCAGGGGCGGGCCAGTGGGACAGGAAGAGGCTATGGGGTGATCTCTGATGGATCATCGTCACGTCCATGTATGTGATATAAGCAAGAGAGGATTATGGTTAATGTAGGTGCATTATGTGCCCATAGGAGAGAGAGGCGGGGAGACAGCAGCGGGGCGGTCACACCGCTCCCTACATCTCCTCCCTTTCTATATTTTTAAGTCAGGAGTATGGCAGGCCCTGTGAGGACAGCTCCTGTCTTAGGTCAAGGACCTCATTACATGGACCCAGCTGGGCCTTACCTGTCATGGGCTTGCAGGACAGCAGTTGGTCCTGTGCCTGTCTTAGGCAGCTGGTGTTGTAGCATGTATGTCCTAGTTGCCCGGCTCTGGCTGCCTGTCCATTGCCTCAGGGCAGTTAGGCCACATCGTCATATGGGCCATTCGTGGGAATTCTTTCCCGGTAGGTTTGTTGATCTGCCATCTCCAGCTGGTGATAGTGTACCTGAATGGGCTTTGCCATAAACACGTCTATCCGGTTACTAATGAGCATCATAATCCTCTGAAAAATACAAGAACTCACAGAGAGGAGAAGCAACAAGGCAACTAGAGGCCCCAGGAGGGGCGCTAGGTAGGGGAAGAGCCCTCCCCAGAGTGTGGAGAAGGGGTTAGAGGCCATTTGTGACAGGAGGTCCAAATCCACTATTGGTCAAGGGTGGTCCAAGGAGGATCTCGAGAAGGCATCATGTAATCCATCGGTTTGGCATTTTCTGTAAGGAAGCACAAGAAGTTGCCTCAGGGTATGTGTTTACTCCTGGGCCTTTTGGGGGTTATTATTATTTGGCTCATTAATTTGCCTAATGAGACGAATGGGGAGCCATCTAGCCTCTTTGTCTTTGCAGGAGTATATGCACACTGAACCACATCCCTATGTGAGAATGGGGTCAGGGCCATGCCATGAGTTAGTCAGGGGGTCTCTCCATCGTACAGAAGCAAAGGGGCCTTGTTCCCAATGCCCTGTGGCAAATGGATATCACCCACATCCCAGAGTTTGGCAACCTAAAATATGTCCATGTGTTTGCTTTTGTGTTTCAATATGCCAAAAATGCATGGCTGCTGATTGTTCAAAAGCATCCAAATTTAAAAAATTAAGAATGAATAAGGCATGAGATAGAATATTTCTGGGGGATCCTTGGATAGGGTACCATGATCCCCCCTTGACTTTATCAATAGTGAGTTTGAGAGAACGATGTGCACGTTTAACAATACTTTGGCCTTGTGGATTGTAAGGTATTCCTGTTGTATGGAGGATGTTGAGGCACTTGCAGAAGTGGGCAAAGGAAGTGCTAGTATATCCAGGACCATTGTCGGTCTTAAGTTGATGAGGGTTTCCAAGCACTGATAAAGCTGACAGCATGTGAGCAATGATATGTTTAATAGCCTCTCCAGTTTGGAGGGTGGCGAGGATAAAGCCGCTGTATGTATCAACGCTCACATGGACATATTTTAGGTTGCCAAACTCTGGGATATGGGTGACATCCATTTGCCACAGGGCACTGGGAACAAGGCCCCTTGGATTAACCCCTAAGTGTTGCATGGGTAGGTGGATAGCACAGGATGGGCAGTCTTTTACAATCTGTCTGGCCTGCTCTCTCGTGATCTTAATATAGAATTACAGAAAAATAAATGGTAAGATATCACCAGTTGATAAGTTACATATTGTCATCTTAGAAATAGTTATTCAGGTTGTAAAATTAAAGTATGTAAAGTGACATTCAAATAGTGACACTGCCAACAGTTCTGCTCAATGATTCAACAAAAACTTTGTAATATGGTTATCAGTCCTACCCACTTGTTTTTTATCTCAAAGAGGGCAAGACCAAACATATCAAAACAGTACAAAACAGTTCAAAACAGTTAAAAAAAAACAATTTAAAGAAATACAGATTTGAAAGCAAGTCCACTGGAGATCTTTACTGTTCAACTAATTGTCTCTAGTTTCCCCCAAACAGTTGTCCTCATCTTCACGCACATTAAATATACACTGCATATTATAGAACTAATCAAATCATTACAGGATGACAAAGGCTCCTCAGGTCTTTAAGACCTGACATTGGGGAAGACAATAATAACTATCATAGTGTCTCTCATTCTCCTCTTAGCAGCTGTCCCCATCTTTACATATGCTGAAATGAAACTTAAGAGACTAGATCAATATCACTCCGATCAGTTAAATGAGTCAAAGTAATTGACATTGGAATCTGTATCTCTGGAGTCTTTTTTACAGTTTTTTGCAAAATGACCAGTCTCTCCACAGGTAAAAGTTTTACTTTTTTGAGATAAGAACTGTTTAACTGCAAACCCTTGCAAGGTGGCAGCCATAGCAAGCCTTGCTTACAAGCAGTTTCAATGTCAATGGTACCAGAGATTGAACTCACAGACTTTTATTTGTCAGGCAGGCATCTATGCCACTGAGTTAAATCTCCAGCCCTGGGGGCTGAACTCACAACCTTGTGCTTGGCTGGCAGGCACTTATGTCACTGAGCTAAATCCCCAGCCCCTGCTTAATGCTCCTGAGAGAGGAACTCATATCTCCCTTAAATTGCTTTTGGGCCTCTCTGCCAGCATAGGCATCATCCCCTATTAACATATCAAGGTCCCACCCATTGCAGGCTTGCGTATTTCACCTGGCGATTTCTTTTCAATTTTTTGTATATTTTGATTTTTACCAAAAATCATCCTCACCCTATAAAATTGCTCCAGCCAATTCTTGCCAATCTGTAGGTGTGAGCCAGCCATCAGCCAAAGAATTTAAAACAGCAAGAGTGAAAGCAGGTGTAGGGCCATATTGGGAGACTGCTATCTTTAATTTTTTTTTAAAGCTGCCACTGTGAATGGCGTATGGGTCCTAATGACCTGTGGAGCTAGTGGCGTGGCGCCGTCTTGTGGTTGTGTGGTGCCATCTTGGGGAGGTACGTTTGTTTCGCCACCAGAAACGCCATTTTGGGGAAGGAGGAGGGGGGGGGAGGGGGGACCCACCCTGATGTGGCAGAAGTGAGGCAAGTGCCATTTTAGAAGCTGGCACCATCTTAGGGGTGGCGTCTAAATGGCTTGTCTGTAAAGTTTTGAGTTGCAGAATGAGTCTTTGTTTTTCTTGTTCTAATTAGACCTGGTGTTAGGGACTCGGGTGGTGGCGAGCTGCCATCCTGGAGCTTTTTTATATATAATTTGCCTCCTTGTTGGAGGGGCAAGAAACTTCAGATTTGTCTCCTGAGGGAAGTGGTGTTGGCGTGGCGGAAGCTCGCAGGGCGGCTTCACCTTGGGTGATTGTTTTATCAATTTGACGGTCTTGGCAGCGCTGTGTAAGTAGCTCCAAGATTAGGTTCCAGCAGGCAAAGGCCATAACTGGGACCTTTTCAGGGCCAAAGACCTGATAGTAATCCTTTAATGCATCTCCTGCTCTTTCCCATCTTTTTGCATCAATAGAGCCCTCTAAAGGGAACCAAGTGCAAACCTTATGAATAAATTGAAAGTACTGCAATAAATCTTCTTTTTTTTTTTTAGCCTTTTTCCCTCTTGTCTTTAAAGCTTTATTTAAACCTGACACAAAGTGTCACTTAATGCCTGACCCATGTCGGAAAAAAAGGGATCACCGTCCACTTACCGTGACTCAAGTGGTGCAGCAGGCTCCCACATAGCGTTGGTCACAAAACTCTTAGTTCCCTTCTTATGCATGCATCTCAGGACGGCTCCCTCGTTGAGCCCTTTGTGCCAGGAGCCCCACGATGGGTGCCACTTGACCCGGCCTGCAGGTCAATCCGGGCCGGGTCAATCAGGATCTGTGGAGCAGTTTCCTGGAGAAGGAATGGGGATTAACACAGACAGGGCCAGAGACAGAAAGATGGAGACAAGTCGAGAAAATCTGATCAAGCCTCATTTATTGATAAAGTGGTCGCTGTTTTTACAGGGCAGGGGCAGGCTGGTGGGACAGGAAGAGGCTATGGGGTGATTTCTGATGGGTCATCGTCATGTCCGTGTACGTGACGTGAGTAGGAGAGGATTATGGTTAATGTGGATGCTTTATGTGCCCATATGGGAGAGGAGGGGAGACAGGAGCGGGGTGGTCGCACCGCTCCCTACAGAAAGAGAAAAGTGTATTTTAGGTAAAGGAATTGATAAGGGTAAAACTTCATGGTTTGAGGCTCAGATAGGGTAGATCCTCCAGCTGGTGCAGAGGGTGGGAAATATAAATCAGGTTGGAGACAAGAAGAGTCTAGAAAGTGAAAGTTTTAAGTTAAGTTTTTAAGATTTAACCATGTGAAGGGAAACGCGGTCATAGAACTTTCATAAACACATATTTTGTAAAAAATAAGTTAGTTCTTTAAATAAAACTGAAATGGGATTTTAGCAGTGATTGAGAGGAGCAATGAGCAGATATCAAGACTTTCACACTGTAACTCGTGTGTGCAAAAGGGGTAACCTAATATCTCTGTAACTAGGGTATCACAAGATTTATCATCAAATTGCATTACTTGTGAGACTAAGAGGTGGTACCTTTGATACTTAGGCTGGCATGATAGCTCTGGAGTGGGAAAACCTCATGTAAACTGAAAGGTGAATTCACCTCCTATCTAAGTTTTCTTCAGGTGAAAACCAACAAGCAAACAAAAATTTTGATCTGGAAATTACAGCTCAGATTTAATTAAATAAAATTTATTTTGGTTTCAAATGAGTTAGGTATTGTTCTGAACCCTTGACACATCCTAATTTATTTAATCTCCAAGTGAAAAACTATGCATTAATAGTAGCACATCCCACTCTATAAAAGTAGAAAAATAAACAGCAACCACTTTTAACTGTTGATTAAGAAGGTATTAGAACCAAATTTCAATGCAAATTGTATGGTAGCAGAGTTAAGGTCACAATCCATAGTATAGTCCTGGCTTAACTGCCTTTTTGATTGAAATTTCTGATGAATTATGAATAATTTTTTAGTGTAAGTATGTCTCATGAAATCTTGGAGACAACCCTTGTCTTCCCTAGTTGCCAAGGAAACATAGGTACTGAGGTGGGAAAGCAGGAGACAGCCAGGGGTTGGCTAAGGAGAGATCAGGTGGCAGCAGCAGGATGGGAGAGATCAGGGGAAAGCTTGGGGTAAAAAAGAGCAGGGCACAGTCTGTCTTTGCCTGATTAGCATGGATGTAGCCTCCAATCTCTGCGTCTAGACTAGCACTTCTAGTAAGTCTATTGGAGTCTCTCTGCATGGTTGTATAACTTGTCTGTGGCCTCAGCTGTACATTATCTCAAATCAAAATCTGTCTTTACTCCTGGAGATGTTGCAAATAACCAAGTCTGAACCTCATCTCCCATTCACCTGGAAATACATGTTTGAATAGTCAGGTAGATATCAGCAACATAAGGACTGCCTTAAAAACATTTAAGAATAGACCTATTAAACATGAGCTAGCAAAAAGGATCAACTTGACGGGGAAATGGTTTTGAGCAAGAAAAGCAAAATTCCACTGTCATATTGTCTCACTCATTATAACTCACAAATGAACTCTTCCAGTACACTGAGCTTCCTACAAGGAAAAACTTGATGCGTTGTTAATAACAATGTTGCAGAAAAATCCTGGACTAAAGGAAAATACTCTGCACTGAGAACTTAGGGAGGCAATGATTTATTATGTTAGCAGGCTGGTGGGAATCAGTTCCAAATCACCCTAAGGCAGCTTAGAATTTAAATACATTTTGTAAGCAGGATGCACAAGGCTGATAGCAGGTTATTACATAACTGTTTACAAGAATTAAGCCATATATTGTCAAGCAGGCTTTTTATACGTTTACTTAAAAAGGAATTGTTTATCATAAGGTAAGAACATTCTGAAAAGCAGGAGAGGAAGTTTGAGTGGAGTGGGTAGAGTTAAATGTGTCCTTGATTGGATGCATTTAGGCCCATTCAGCTGTGGGCCTAAAGTCCTCGAAGCAAGCTAGAAAACTGTAAATATATTTCTAGGTAGGAAAACACAGACATTACTACTGGATGCAGTCAGGCTAATTGAGCACATGACCTGGAGAAGCAGCAGGATGCAGTCAAGGCTAATTGAGTTTGGCAAGCTAATTGTATGGCAAACAGCATGAGCATAGTCACAGGCCACTAACTGATTTTTAACTTTTGCTATAAAATGTCTATCAGTTTTTTGTTCTGTCACTTTGCCCTTACAACAATTTTTTTAAAAAGCTAAGCACTTCTTTGGCCATTAAGTTACAATTGTTCCTTGACTCCACTCACTGTCTGCCATTTAGGAACACATCTGAACCTTAGCACCCAATGCACAGACAAGCAGCTGGTAGACCATCTACAAATTCTGGGTTCCAATTTCAGCTCTGCACACAATTTGCAGCAGCTTACTTTCCATTTTTGTAATTCTGGAATGATAATATTTCAAATGAAAAGTGGTAAGTTAAACATAAATTATTATAAAGTAATTCAAGGTATAAAGCTTGGAAGTCCATCTTATAGTCTTACTTATTTAGCTGCTTTCTGTCTCTTTTTTTTTTTAAATTGGTACCAGAGATTGGTGTGCTTGCAAGGTAGGCGCTTATGCTGCTGAGCTAAATCTCTAGCCCTGTTTTCTGTCTCTTTGTCCATGTAATAAATGAAATAGTGGTCCTCCAAAAAATATGACTACTTGAAGCTTGTGAACATGAAGTTTTTGGAAATAGAGTCTTTGTAAGACCCTCGAGTGTCTTGAGTGATTGTTCTGGATTAAAACAGTACCCTAAATGCAATGTCAGGTATCTTTAAAACAGCTGAGTGGGATCTGAGACATTGAAACACAAAGAGAAGCCCCTATAATAACAAAGGCAGAAACTAGAATTGTGTTGGCACAAGTTAAAGACCATCTGGAGCGTCTAGAAGCTAGAAAAACGCAAGATTTTTCCTTGAAAGCCTTTGGAGAAACTCTACTGATCCCTTGACTTTTGGACTTCTGTCTTCCAGAACCATGAAGGAAGAAATTTCTGTCATTTTTAGCCTAATAGTTGTAGACATTTATTAGGGCAGTTTTAGGAAACTAATACCATATCAAACTTTCAATAAATTATGATAGGTTGATCTTCAAAACTCTGCAACACCTGCACTCCTCTAGTTACTCTAAGCCACGGTGGTCTTACTATTGGCTGTCTTTACTCCTTACATGTCCCACAGGCATCCAGCAATCAGAGTGCAGTTCAAAAGTCAGTTGAAACCTTGTCAGCTCTCTGCTCAAAGAGGCTTTCACATGCTTCCCATTTTTCTCAGCCTGTAACTCAGAGCCTTTGTTATGGTTCACAAGACTGAGTGCGACCTGGCCCCTGTAATCTCTCTGCCCACATTTCTTTACTCTTGCACTTCCTTGGTGCCCTGTAGTTGCCGCACTGCGGTCTTTGTATGGTTTTTCTCAGTCCTGAAGACCATGACCATCACAAGTCTCTGCTCAGATTTTGCCTCGCCATTCTTCTTGTTCAGGTCACATCACTCTATTGTGTATTTGTTTTCCTGCTCACAACTTCTCTATCCAACTAGGAGGAAAGCTACGTAAGACTCAAGATCTTGTCTGTCTTGTTTGTTGCAGCATTTCTAGAACCAGTGCCCAGCCTAGTGCAGGTACTAAAAGTATCTGTGGACTGAAGAAACCAGTGTACCTTATTGTTATGAAGGGTGTCAACCTAAGATGATGGCGATGGTATCTGCTTCAGCACCACTCCCAATTGCACTTTCTGGGGAGTAACCTAGAAGGCCACCTACACACATTCTCAGCAGGAGAGGGTGAGTCACCACCAGAGGAAATGACCCACTACAAATTCGGAGCCAGATCTGCAGTCTGGGGCACAGTAAAATCAGATTACTTTTGAGTGAGGTTTGTTTATTTATTTAGTGGTATTAGGAATTAAAACCAGGGCTTTCACATTGAACTACATCCCTAGCCTTGAAAATAATGTTTTTTCTTTTCAATTTTGAGACAGCGTCTTGCTAAATTGCTAAACTACCCAGGCAAAGGCTCATATTTGGGATTTTCTTGCTTCAGCCTCCAAGAGCTAGGATTATGTACTTGCACCAACACCTGAGGCTAGTGAAGTATTTTTAGACTGTTTAAACTGTCAAATTGAAGGTCACAGGGCACAAGCCTGGAATCTCAGCACTTTGGAGGCTAAGGCAGGAGGACTTGAAGCTCAAGTTCCACCTGGGCAACATACGGAGATTCTGATTGGGCAAAAAACCCTAGGGACACAGCTCAGTGAAAAGGTTGTGTGTTCAACCCCTAGTGCTCCCTGCCCAGCAAAGAGCCATGTTAGCTTTAACCCCTACATTCCTGCAGGAAATGTGACAGCTATAATAGGAACTACAATTTTTCATATGTTGAATGCTGAGAATTTTTTTTTCTGAGACAAGGTCTCCCCATGCTGTTTAGGCTGCCCTTTATCTCACTATGCAGCCCAGGCTGGCCTTGAACTAAAAGCAATCTTCCTCTATCAGCCTTCTGAGTGCTGGGATTACAGGTGCCTGTCACCACACCTGGCCTGATGAGCAGTTTAAAAAGTGCTTTAATACAACTTATTTTATTTGACTCTATTGCTTGCCTGAGTAACAATAACAGATATTCTCATTTTACAGATGAAAAAAAAAGACTAAATGTCCTGTTCAAGGGTACACAACTGCACAATTGTCCTCTGGGCCATTGGGAGTCAGGACTTTTACTTAAAACTAATTTTATTGGTACTCTTTTGATATACATAATGACCTCATGTATCATTGGGAATTTGTATCTCTACATGATGATATAGCTTGATTTTTTTTCTCATTCCCTTTCCCTCTTCAATCCTTATTTACAAAAGCTTTGACATTTTTCCCCTTCTGTTCTCTTTCTTCTTTTTCCCTTCCTTTCCTTCCCCTACCTCTTCCCTCATTCCCCTTCCTATTTGAACATTTTCTTCCTACTTTCATCCATTTTGCGCCTTTGGGTTCTCCCACAAGAGAAACAATGTGCTATTCAAATACGTATGTTCGATTTATTTCACTAAAAATTATGGTCTCAAGGTGCATTTATTTCACTAAAAATTATGGTCTCGAGGTGCATTCATTTACCTAAAAATGTCTTAAGCTTATCTTTATGGCAGAGCAGTAACCTATTGTACATAAAAACCACATCTTCTTCATACATTCATCTGATGATGGGCACCTAGGCTATTTCTAAGATGTAGCAGTTACAAATTCTGCTACTATAAATATGGATGTGCATATATCACGGTGGTATGATGCTATTAACTCTTTTGGGAAGACACCAAGAAAGAGTATTGCAATTTCACCTGCCATGCATTGCACTCCATTCATTGACTTATTTAAGGTACATTATTGGACACCAACTGTTTCAGGTACTGCCTTAGGGTAGCATAAAAGGGTGAGAAACCTCATTATCTTTGTCTTCTATGTTTGAATCTGAAAAATAAAAAAAGAAACTGCAATACGTACACTTGAAGAAAAGACTCAGTAAAGCAGCTGCTACCTTTTGCCCCACTCCTCGTCCCTCTTGCAACCGCTGCAATCTTAAAATCTTTGAAAAGTTGTCCGAGGGCACCGGCACAGCCCTGGACAGAAAACCTTCAGCCCTGAGGGGAGGGGAACCGCTCTGGGTGTGGCCGGGGGCGGGGCGCGCAGCGCGGAGGGGGCGGGACCTAGTTCCTGGGCGGGGCGCGCGGGCGCGGAGGGGCGTGGCCTGGTTCCTGGGCGGGGCGCGCGCAGCGACGTGGCAGCCGCAGGGCGTGCGTCGCCAGTGGCCATCTTGGAGGCGGGCCGTGCGGAGTGGAGCTCAGTGCCGCGTCCTCCGGCTCTTCTCCGAACTGTAGCACTACTCCTGAGTGCCCTGTCTCCCGTTGGTGCTGCCACGCAGGCGTTTGCTCTAGACCCCAGGTGAGCGTCCGCTTGGCCGCTACCCGCGTGCTCTTAGAGGGGCGCCGTCCCGGGAGGTGGGCGGGCGGCCGGCCCCCGGGTGCGGGTCGCTTCCGATCCTGCGGGTGGCGGCGGCGGGTCCGCGTCCGAGCACTGTCCTCGCCGCGCTTCCGGAGTGAGTGCGGGCCGGGATCTCTACTCGGACTGCTCGCCTGCGCCGGGCCCAGTCCCGAGTCCCGAGCCCCGATGTGTGGTCCCACCTTCCCGCGCGCCGGCCACCGCAGAGAGAGCAGAGGCGGGTGCTCGCGGACGTTAGCCCGGCCCAGCCTGGCCTGGAGACGTGGCAGCACCTGAAGGAGGCCGCTGTCTCCTGGAATAGGATTTCGGTCGCTCAGGCCTTAGAGTTAACAGACGGAACAGGTAATGGGGGAAGCTGATTTTCTTTGACTGGCCCCCGTCGGTGGCTAGCACTGCTCCACGGAACTTTTGCACGCTCGACTTTTTGGCATTGGAACATGCTTCAGTAAATTGGCAGGGTTGCCCGTTTCCTAGATGGGCAGAATTTATGTCCGAAACAGTTTTTGTAGAGCAGTTAGTTTGAGAGATATCATGCTTTTCAATGATTATGACACGTTTTGTTATTTTAGCCCCTTTCAGCTGCTAAATCAGAGAACACTTTGGGAAGCTTATGTTGGGATCAAAGCTGAGAATGCAGGGATAATTCACACTGGTCTAGTACTCACTGTCAAGTAGTAGAGGCAATCTTACGGCATTCATATATCCATCATAATTGTTTGTAATGTTTTAAAGTTCATCAGAATCCCCTTATATTTCTTTTCTGCAAGCAGCCATCACTTTTTTTTATAACAGAAAATCAAGATACAAGCAAACTGAAAGAACGCATCTGGCCACAGACTGAGGGCTCAATTTTCCAAGCCGTTTCCACCATTATTTCCTTTAATATTTATACATTAATACAGTTGGTCTCTGGGAGGTTTACCAGTTCTGACAATTCATTGCAACTTTATGTCTAAGAAGGTATGTTTGTGAGTGCAAAATTTTCTCCAGAATTGCAGTTAAACCATTTTGCAACTAATAAAGCCTTTAGAGACTTTAAGTATGACTTCCACTGGCCATTGTAAGGGTTAGGTAGCATCTGTACTAGGAAGATGAATGACCAATTGAAAATGAAAAGAAATAACTTTGTGGGAAGTAGTGGATATGTGTCTCACCTCTTTTACCCTGAGTCTCAGTTCAGAATGCCTTCTATCCTCACCCATTCCTTGTAAACACCTGTAAGTTCATCTTTAGTTTAGTGAATCCATCATACCTTTTAGAAGGCATTCTTGCTGGTTTCCTGTAGAAATACTGTTGCCTATTCCTACCTTAAAAATACACTTGACTTTTTTGGATACTGTAGTCTCTGATTATGTCGTTTTCTGCAGTCTGATCTGCTATCTGAATAAACTAGATTAGCTTTTAAGTCATAGTCTTTTTTGCTCTCGATGTGTTCTTGCCAGATAATCTCATAAAGAACTTGACTTTGCAAACCACTGATACATTGATGGCACCCACATTTATGTGGTTTTGGAGCTCCACATCAACTCATTGTGCCTGCTGGAATGTTTCAAGAAGCTTGAAATTAGCATGTCAGAGACTAGACTAAACACTGATTGCAATCTTCTGACCCGCCTCCCACAACCACCACCACAGACTTTGACTGCTTACCACTCACCTTACTAGTAAAGGATGCTGCCATTTGTCTGATTGTTCAAGCCATGCCCATTCCTTTTCTGCCTCCATATCTAGTTGCTGAATTAACCATATGAACATTTAAAAAATCTTTTCTCTATTATTTTCACCCTAGTCTACATCATGAAATGTGTGATGAATTTTTAGCAATAGTTGTTGCTAGTAGATTAGCAGCAGTAACCTCTAATTGTGACAATCAAAAGTGTCTTTAGATCATTACCAAAAGAACCAAGTCACCCCTCTCCTCTTTGTGAGAATCACTAGGTTATTAATTTCAGCTATTTTTCAACCTGTCTTCAGGAGCTCTCTGTATCATCACACTGCCTTTATGATGGCCCAAGCTACACACTTTGATCGAAGGAATCTTTTCAAAGCTCAAATATGACTAACATCAGCCTGAATGTCATTCTGTAAAGCTATACAATAGAATAGTATTCAACAATAAAAAAAAAAACTTTTGATACATGCAACAATTTGAATGAATCTCAGAGGCTTCTGCTGGTTAAAACAAGCTAACCTTGAAAGGTTTCTTACTACATGAATCTATAGAGATCCTATTTCAGTATTCACAGCAATCTGTCTGGGAATTTGTAATCCGGTAGAAATGTTATTGGAATTCCAGTGTGTTAATTCCAATCTATCACTTCCAGTGCACTCCATGGTGAGAATAAAGACAGTAAGACATATTTATCATTAGCTGGTCCAAGGAGTCGTAAGTCTGGCCAGGATGAAACTTTATTGGGACAAAGGGCTCAACCTAGGGTCTAACCTGAATTTTACTAAGTTTTAAAGCAAGGAGTGGCTACAGGATGAGTGACTGTGAGAATGGCGGGGGAAATACTTGCATAATGTGAGCTGGGCTATGCAGGAAGTCTGCAAGCACCTCTGCAATATGCAGAAGAAAGGGAATGAGTAAAATAATTGAGGTAGTATGTAATGTTTAGGGGGCTGGTGCCTCCACTCTGATATGTAAACTTTTCTGCCCTGTAAAGTCATAGCCTCTTTATCTCAAGGCTCAACCCAGTTGACAGCTTTTGAACCATGGCTCTTCATCTTGAGAGGTTCAGCCTTGTGTTTTGGGAGTCACTGGACAGGGAAACAGTGACTGTGATCTAGCTTCAGCACCTCAGCTAGTCCTGTTTACATTGGTTAGAATCAGTTGAAGGGAAAAGGAAATAGCTTAGCGCTGTACATAGCGGTACCTGAAGATAGGGCCAGGTTTAGCCAAAGTGGAGGTAATTGCCCTTTGTTCAAGGAGAGTCATCCAGGTGGTCCTCCACAGATTTCACCTATGTTATTCTCAGGAAGTGAGAAAATGAGAGATTAGATCAGTTGTCTCCCTGGCTTATAGTGGATAGGATCAGTGCAAGGGAGTTTTTTGAAGTGATGAGACAGTTGTGTATGCTAATTATGGCAGTGGTGATATGAGAGTCTATGTATATGATGTATCATCATAGAACTACATGTGTACACACACAAGTAAAAAAAAAAAAACTGGTGAAAACCAGTTAAGGTCTATGGATTAGTTAACCGTATCGTACCAGTGTCAGTTTCTTGGGTTTAATCGTTGTACTGTCAGCACATGACATGCTATTAATGAGAAAGGCTGGATTTGGGGTACTCAAGAACTCTACTTTTCAGTTTTCTTGTGAATTTAAAATTTCAAAAAAGAACAAGAGTTAACTATACCACTTCCAGCTTGATTGCCTTACAGCTTGATTGCCTAAAACACACATGCACTTAGCCGCACAGAGTCCCTGATAAGACCCAGTGTGATCTGGACTCTTGCCTATCTTTTCAGCCCTCATTCTTTTCTGATCATTGTCACGTGGGTTTTCTTCAAACGTGCCTTATTCTTTCAGTTCTGCTGGAGTAATACTGTAGTGGTGGTACACCTGCCTCACATGGTTCTTACACGCATTATATGTTCACTTTTTTTTGGAAGCTGCCTCTCTGTCTTTCTCTCTTGCCCTGTTTAAGTTCTGTTTCTCCTTCAGATCTCAGTATATCTGTGACATCTTTGGGAAAGCTCTTTCCTGACTTCTGAATAGGAATCATATTCCTGTGAAGCTGTGTTCGTAGTGCACACATTTCAGACCACAGTTGTCTCTTGGTACTATGTTGGTATCATTTTATGTTGGTATTATTTGATTGCACTAGACTTTATACTGATTGTTTTTGTTTGCTGTTGTGTTTCCAGAGGCACAGTATGTATGATGGTTGGCAAGCAGTGAACCATCACTGAATATTTGTTAAACAAATAAAAATACCAAAAACAAATTTGTCACATTTTGAGGTTTTTACATGAGATGAACCAATTTATAATATTTGTTTCTCATGTTTTATAACCCCTTATTATCAAAACCATCCTGTAATATGTTTGTGTGTGTGTATGTAAGTGGATACACGTTTGTGAACACTTTTGTAGAACTTGAAACATATAATTTGTCTGTTAGTAAATGTATTTTAAAATGTGAACCAGAGACTTAACATTAGTGCATTTTTTTCAAGTTTACCACTTTTTGATTTTTAAAGAATTCTCTATGAGGGGCTGGGGATTTAGCTCAGTGGCATAAGCACCTGCCTTGCAAGCAGGTGGTCATGATTTGATCCCCGGTACCGGTAAAAAAAAAAATAAAAATACTCTATGAGAGAAAAGTGTAAGGCATTTATCAGGTCAAGCATCTTTAAAATTTTTCTCTGTTAATAGGAGTAGTTCACATAGAATACTTTATAAGGGAAGGGGGTTTCAAATTACATTAAATGTTTTATTTTCATTTTAAATATAATGAAATCGAGGCACAATTTTAACATGTATTCATGTGGCAGAAATCAAATTGGCAGTTTACTGTATATTTACTGTATATTGGCAGTTTACTGTTACCATAAAATTATTTCCGAATTGTGAAGTGTGTATATGGTACACACTTGTTTTACAATATCACAGATTGTTTGTGTGTTACACATTCTCATAAACTACTTTGTTAAGAATTTTGATAAGCCTTTTGTTTGAAAGTAAGTTACATTATAAATAGTAAAGGCATATATGTGTCTCCTGAGAGTTATTCTTTTTTTCTTAACTATGCAAGCTTTAGAAATGGAATTTTGATTACTGTATAAAATGTGTTACAATTGTATGTTTTGCAGTACACCATCATTGAAGCAAAATGATGGAAGAGAGTGGAATAGAGACCACACCCCCTGCGACCCCTCCCCTGACCCTGGCAGGGATGGCAGCCCCCGCCATGTCTTCAACTCCAGGTAGGAGCTCTGGAACCCACGTGAGCACTGAGGCTGGCAAAGATACTCTTACCTTTGCTGTTAGTTAAAAGCAGAATGCACATACTAAAGTTATGTCAGGATAAAGGAAAATAGACGTTTTATTTAAAGAATGGAAAGAAATAGTCTTTAGTAAAAGTAAAAACATCAGTGTTTTGCTTAAGGAGACTTGTTCTTTATATTCATATTGACTATAATAGCAAAATATTATTAAAGGCATGTGTTTTTTTTTTTTTGCTGTTCTGTGATACTTTTGGACCTGAAAAATGGCTTTTTTAAAAAATTAAAGACATACCAAAACAAATGAAGGAGAAAAAGGGTCTACTTACAAACAGTGCCATAATTTAATAACATAATTTAAGAAATGCTGCTGCATTTACTCTGGGGAGTTGAAAATCTTTTGCATTCGTTGTATATTTTAAGTTATACCTTTAAAGATAATCTTGGGCTGTGGTCTACTTAAAAAATTTGCAGTAGACAGTCATGTGAGTTTGAAAACAACGTGAGAAGCATTTTTCACTTTTGTCTTTTTACCCTCTCCCCTTTTTCTAGCTGCGGCCAGTTCTTTTGCCTCTCCAAACGTGTCCACGATGGAGTCCTTGCCCCCACACGCTTACTCTGCTTCTCAGCCGTCCCATCCTCCTGTGCAGCCCTCAGCCCCGCTGCCTTTTGTGCCTCTCTCACCGCCACCTTCTGTGCCACCCCTCAGTACTTCTGTGTCCCCTCCGCTTCCTTCAACAACTGCTGCCACCTTCAGTAATCCTCCTTTGTCTCACTTTCCACCTGCAAGCTCTGCCCCAGGTGCTCTTTTACCTGCACCTCCTCCGGGTCCTCCTATATCAGGATTCTCTGTTGGTGCATCTTATGACATCACGCGGGGACATGCTGGGAGAGCACCTCAGACGCCGCTGATGCCGTCCTTTTCTGCACCGCCAGTGACGGGTAGTTCTCTTTTTTTAATACTTTGAAATACATCGCTAGATATAATGTTGTTATTGTTTTAGTTTAGATATAGCTTTACTAAGATATGGGTCACATACTATACGATTCAGTTCTTTATAGAGTTGAGGGGTTTTCATTCATAGAGCTGTGCAGCCATTACTACAATCCATTTTGTAACTTTTCATTACCTTAAGAAGAAGCCCCGTTCCTATTTCAACCTGTTCCCTGCAGTCCTCACAGGCCTAGGTAACTGCGAATATATGGATTAGTCTGTGGATTTACTTTTGGGGCATTTCTTATAATTGGAGTTATGTCATTTGATGTGTTGTGGCTGGCATTCTTGTCACTTTAGATGTTTTCAGGTTTTATCCATGTTATTCAGTTCAGGTGATGTTACATTTCTACTTTTTAGCCATTTGGGTAATGCTACTATGAACTGTTGTGCATAAGTCTTTTGTGGACAGATATTTATTACTGTTAGGCAAATACCTATGAAAGGAATTGTTGACTTATGTAATAACTCTTTAATTCTTTTATAAGACTACGAACTGTTTTTCAAAGCTGATGTACTATTTAATTTCCGTATGCTGTTTCCTTTGTGTAAGATGTTTTAGTTCCTCTGCATTAATGTCTTATTCATTTCTTTGACTTCTAGTTTCTTATTCCCATGTTTTCTCATTTGAATTGTAAGTAATCCTAGCACTAGGGAGGCTGAAGCAGGAGGATCATTGCAAGTTCGAGACCAGCCTGGCTACAAAGTGAGTTTTAAGGCCAGCCTGAACTGCATAGCGAGACCCTGTCTCAAAAAGCAGAGGGAAAAAAAAAAAAGAAAGAAAAAGAAAAAAAATCCAGATGTTGTTGTGCATGCCTATAAGTCCAACACTCTGGGAGATAGAGGCAGGAGGATTATAAATTTGAACCTAGCCTGGGCAATTTAGTGAGACCCCTGTCTCAAAAAACTCGTAAGTAAAAAAGACTGGGGATGTAGGTCAGTGCCAGAATCCTGCGTTAATCCCCAGTATAGCAAAGCAAAAAACCTGCTGTAATTTCATATAGTAGGGAGTGTAGCTCAGTAGTAGATTGCTTGCTAGCATGCAGGAGTCCCTGGGTCAGCCCTTAGCAGTAAAAAAATACAAAACATACAGAAACAACTTAGTATATGATCAATATATGAGGTGTCAGAATCCCAAAATTTTTGCGTTTCCAGAGAAAGATCAGAGTGAAGTTTGAGGGTTAAAAGATCTTTTGACTGACTGGCCCAGGGAATAGTTTTACTCAGCCAGGTGAAAATTCAAAAGCATGTAAAAGCTCAGTTGAGCTAAAAGTCGATGCAACTGGTTCATTTCTTTCCTAGGTCAGGTGTGTCTTTTGTGCTTCTCCGGTTGTTGGAAATCAGTTATTAAAACCTCATCTTTCTCATCTTCTGCCTGTTGTTTCTTACTTCAGTATATGTGCTACTGAAGTGAACAGTGTTTCTCATTTTAGAAGAAGAAAGCAACACTGACGTTTGCTTATCTAGCTTTACAAATACAATTTATTATGGAGTATAGTGGTATCATTGTCTATATTTATATGGGGACGTTATTTCTGAGTTAAAATAAAATGTGTGAAGTATATATAATGAGTTGTATGCCTTTTTATGATGGACTTAGGTGTCCATTTATTTTTCAGATTAGCGACAGCTATCTGTGCTCCAGAGCTAAATAGGACAATGTGTGCGAGAACATATGTATACACACATATGTACATATATACATGTGTGTGTGTCCTGTTTCACAACAATTGGCGTAAGCCTGAATTGGGGCAAAGAAATTTCTTTTTTGGAATTCTGTTTCATTTGCTTTAGGTTTGGGTGATTCTGAGTTTCTAACTGAATTTTGAAATACTTAAGTATGTACAGTTACATTATTAAAGTTGTTTTGAGCTGTTCAGATACTGTATCTTTTTATATAAGAAGTTTGTGGAATAAATTACAGTTTTTTGCCATTGACTAGGTGTTTTGCCAACTCCGATTACTCAGCAAGCCTGCCTGACGTCTCTGGCCCCAGGAACTGGAATTACCTCAGCCATCACCTTCCCAGAGGAACAGGAAGATCCTAGAGTTAACAGAAGTCATGATGAGGCATCTGCTGGAGGAATCTGGGGCTTTATTAAGGTAAGCGATAGAATATTTGCTTCTAAAATTGTTTTATATTTTAGTTACAAAGTGACAGGTATTCAGGGAAAATTTTGAAAATAGAAAATGACATAAGGAAAGAATAAAACATCTTTTAGTTTTCTTTCATTGCTCCCATCTTTTATGTTTATCTGTGTAGTTGTACCTATCCTGTTAATAAAAGCAAAGTGGAACAATGACATGGGGGACATTTGTGTTTTTTCTTGGTCTTTTCCTTCCAGATACTATAAACATCTTCCTGGCCGTATATTTAGAAAAGCATTTTTATTTTCAGTACTGAGATTGAACCCAGGACCATTACCAGAGATACATCCCAAACTGTTTTTTTAACTGTTATTTTGAGACTGGATCTAAGTTGCTGAGTTTCCCGGGCTGGGCTTGAACTTATAGTCTTCCTGCTTCAGCCTCTCAGAGTTCTAGGCTTCCTGCAAGTGTGTGGCTTCACACCTGGCAGGCAGTATATTTTTTTATGGCTACTTTGCCATCCGTGCTCTTACCATATTTTACTAATCTACTATTGGGATTTTCTAATTGTGACTTTTGAAATTTATTTTATTTGAGAAAAATTGTGTAGATTTTTCATGTATAGTATGATGTTTTGAAAGGTGTAGGCATTGTGGAAATGGCTAAATTGAGTTAATTAACATATCTTACCTTGTCATTTTGGAAGATGAAAGTCTTGAAATGTATTCTAAGCAACTTTCAAGACTAATACATTGTTACTAACTATGGTGACCAGCTTGTACAGTGATTTGTTCTAATTGTCGTTCTTATTAATAAAACAATGAGAGGTACTCCTGTATATAAATCTCTGTGGGCATCTGTGTTGCATCAGAGTTATTTCTTGACTCTTAATTTGAAATACAATACTTTCTTGTATGATAGGCAATTTTAGAATCCCATCTTAATTTGCATTTCTTTGCTATTAAATTTAAACTTCTCATGAAATTTTTAGCTGTTTGTGTATTTTTTTCTGAATTTTTGGTTCACGTCCTTTGGTTTAAAATAGGATTGATTTTCTTCTCTGAATTTTTACTGAATGTTATTATATGCTGTGGTTTTTTAACACAAGACTTCTTAAGTTTTCTCTTTTCATTTTTTTGTTTTTATGCTAAAAAGACCTTTTCTTGCTATAGTATATGATATTTCTCCTTGGTATCTTCTAATTCTGTATTTCATTTTTTATATTTAACAGTTTAATACAGCTTGATATACTTTAATATACTTTACTAATGTATGAGATAGAAATTAAACTTATTTCCCAACTACTTAATGGGCTGTCTCAATATTCTAACCCCAGTAATTTGATATTAGTTACTAAATTACATGTTAACAGTAGGTGTGTGGGCTCTGTGTTCTGTTCCTGTCTCCCGCCTGTCTTTGCAGTAGTAGCACACTGTTTAATTGCTGTAACTCCTGCTCATTTCTTACACTCGTGTTGAAAGCCTTTGTGCTGAGGTGAGCCTGGGGAATGTCAGCAACCAATAAGACAGAAAGCATGGTTCACAATTCTGCATTTGTAAAGATGTGTTAGTATTTCTTTTCAACATCTGTGTTGGTATTTCCTCACTTTTCTCAGTGAATTTTGGAATCACTGCCAAGATGCTTCCAATATTCTGCTGAGGGATTATTAGTAATTTCATTGTATATATATTAAGCATATTTTCAAATTGTTAAGTGGTTTACTTATTTATATTATTTGAGCTTCTTGTTTCAGGAATGTGACTTTTTTTTCATTTTGGGTACTGGGAATCGAACTCAGTACGTTGCCCTTGCCAGGAAGGTACTTACGCCTCTGAGCTATATCATCGCAAAGACAGTTTTTAAGCTTGCAGTTTTATATCTTTCTGTATTTTTAAAAGTTTTCTTTGTATGACCATTACACTGCTTCCCTCCCCCTTGCTTGTTACAAACAAGTGTCTGTGTCAGCTGACTTGGTTGTAATGTCTGGTTAACTCTTTAAGGATTGTATTGGTATTGTAATTTTCAACATAAAGTTGATCAGTAGTCTTATGAACTCATCATCTTGTGCTGAATTGCTTTGGTTTTCTGGTAGGTTGAAAGAGGAACCTGGACTGTTGTCAGATGTTGGGTCAGGAGCCAGGTCTCTCAGGGCAGAAGGAACCCTCAGACATGGTTCCTCTATGTTATGGCATGGTTCTGAGGATTCAGAGAAAGAGGTCTGGCTATTAAAGGAGAGGTTAGGAGTTTGGAAATGAATAACAGGAATTAGAAGGAAAGAAACTTTAGTAGAATGTAGTAAAGTGTTCTGTTAAGGTAGTAAGAACAGTTCAGGGAAGTAAGGATGGGAAGTTTTGACTATGAGTATTTTTTTATTAGGAACTAAAATATGGACTTTGATGCCTTTGTCTTTGAGACCCTGAGAGACAGTCTTTAGATAAATAAGTAGAAATGAAGTATGTAAATATATTTATTAGTGAAATAAATATAAGCACACATATATCTATAGATTATCATAAAGTACAGTTTGCAGACAGTTTACCATATACAGGTCTGTGTACTACTTCAGAGGGTTGGTGAAAGGATAGAAAAGAAATTGAAAAATGTAGAAACCAAATAGCAGTTTAACATTGCCCCAACCTTACTTTTTTATATTTTTGCTGGTTTGGTATGCATTAGAAACTTTAAATAAATAAAAGAAATAAACAATTTCTTTCATAATTTTGAAGATCTTGATGTTCTTTATTTATAGAGTATGTTATTTTATGCAGGGCGTGGCTGGGAATCCTATGGTGAAATCTGTGCTTGATAAGACAAAACATTCAGTAGAAAGCATGATTACAACGCTGGACCCTGGCATGGCTCCTTATATCAGTGAGTACATCTATTAAGACCTGTATCTGCCATGTGTTTTTAAAATATGCATCAATGTCAGCCACTAACTCATAATTCTCAGTTGATTTCCATTGATCATGGAATGGGGAAATTACTTGTTATACTCTTGCAGTGAGTCTTACTTTTCAGCATTATTCCATTTTTTTAGTTGTCATCCTATAAATTTTGGGAACTCCCCAGAGTCAATTTTGGAGGGAAATCTTGTAATCCACAAACAAGCCCCCCAGAGTCCCCAACCTCTAGTCCAAAAATGGGGCAAAACATTTTTTTTTTAAAAAGCAGCGCTGATTTATTTTATCCTGGGCCCAGCGACACAGTGCAGTTGGAGTTTGCAAAAGCTGTGTGTCCCCCTCAAAACTTTTTAGCCTTTTTGTAGATATCACAGTTTACAAAGTAAGGGGTTATGGGCATGGATTAGGAAATCTGCTAAGGAAATGAGGAAAACCTTTGTTTCCCTTAGCAGAGGACAGAGAAGTCTAGCAGTAATTAACAATAATTTGTCAGCTTATTTTAGCACCACATCTGTTATTTGTATAGGGCAACAATGGTTAACATATCAATTAGGTTAGGTTCCCAGGGATTTACAATTTTTTATAGAGGGGAGCATTGATTAGCATATCAATTAGGTCACCCAGAGGGGAACAAAGAACAGGCATACAGAACAGTATGGCGTCGTTACAGGTAGTTAGGTATAACACAAACATAACGAAGCTCTTTTTGCTAGTGTACAGCAGGAAAGACAATACAGTTATTAGTATCATTACTGTATTAACTATTCATTGTCAGTGTTAAAAATGCTCTGTTCATACTTGGTTTTGAGTAAATGTCCTTATGTTTATTTATAAGTTTAAAAATCAGGAATGATTTTTAAAAGAAGTTAATCTAGTTATTAATAACAGCTGATTACTAGTTTTGTTGGGAAAACTATTTTGACTACCTCTGTTGTCAAGAATCCTCTGGACAGCACTATGTGTATGTGTATTTATTTATCCTGTTTAATTTTTATGTGTATATTCAATGTGTTAAAAAAAAAAGTGTGATTTATGTAAGTCAGTGGCTACACATTAGTATTGCTGAAGATCATTTGAAGGCCAAACCTATGCAGTAAATACTTGAACAGAAATTTTTAGTGATGAGTACCTTTGAGTGGGCTTGACTTGATAGTTTTGGATTAAGTACCCTGTGGTGAATGATTGTTTTGTCAGGCACTGATTCACAAGTGCTCTACAAGGTAAGTATTTTTTTCAAATTTTGGAATAAGAGCTTGGATTCAAAAAGGTATAAGTTATCATCCTGGGTTACTCAGCTTAATGAAACTAGATTGAGCCAATGTTTAATATTTTTTACATTCAATCACTAGGATTCCCTTGAAGTAGAAACTTAAATCAAGAATTAAGTCAGCTTGGGTTAGGAATATAGCTCAGTGGTACAGGACCTGCCTGGGAAGTGTGAGGTCCTAGGTTTGATTCCTGGTACCAACAAAAAAAAAAGAGAATTAAGTCAGCTAATTTGTTGCTTGTGTTTATAACTGTCCAAAGGATTCAGAAATTGGACCTCATAATACATATGATTTCATTTACTTATAATAGTTCAGTCTGACAGAATTCATGCATCATATATATTTTCTTCACTTACGCATATTTTGAATGAAGAAAAATTAACTTTCTTGAAGTTTTTTGTTGTTTTAACAGTACTGTTAGATTGTAAAAGCAACAAGTTAGTCTTTAAAGCAAGTCCTATGAGGTGACAGGTGTTTTTACAGAGTCATGCACAGTTACTTTGTCAAGGTTATAAAGCTGGTAAAAGCTGGGTCTAAAACCCGAGACAGTTTCTCAAGCCAGTAGTCACCACAACATCAAGAAAAAGACATATAACCCCCAGAGTGGAGACTTCAGGAAAGGAATTCATATTAATCACTCATCTTTAAAAAGTGATGAAACCATAAAAGCCAGCAGTTTCCTGGCAACACAAGTATCACTAGTTCTGATACAACAAAGTTCAGTAAAGCTTTTGGCATTTTTACCTAAATGTTTTATAAGTCACTTCATATGATTATTCCTTTTATATTAAGAAATCAGAAGAAATATGAGAAATGAATTTTAACTGCATTTCAAATGAATTTTTCTACATTCTTTTAATTAGTTTTTCTGCCTTCATTATTAAAAGTATGGCACTCATCACAAAGTGAAAAGCCTTTAGCTACAACTTATTGGAATACTACTTAGCTAGAGCTATGTTTTTTATGGAAGAAAAAAAGAGTATATTCTTCGTCTTCTTTCCTGTATGACTCATTGGTTGTGCTAGTAAATTTTGAAATTCCCAGAGCTGATGTGTTCTGCGGAATATTGTGCTAATCAGGAAAAAGATCTATGATAAAATAAAAATAACTTCAACTCTTCCCCAAGATATTTAGCTGTCAGACAGCCTTGTTCCTGGGGCAGGTGTATTACAAATAGCTTTCCTGAAAACTTTGTTAGCAGTGGTAATCTTTAATGTCAACTATCAATATATTCTTAGAAGCAAGCCTTTGAATTCACTGTACAGATTGAGCACCAGCAATCCTGAAATGTGAAATTCACACTGCTCCAAAATCTGAAACTTTTTGAACACTGATGTGATTCTACTAGTGTTTGAAAATTCCATACCTGCCCATGTGACAGGTTGTAGTCAGAACACAGATTCACTAACAGTACCATGTAATACTACCTTTCGGTTGTGTGTTTAAGACCTGTATGGAACAGAAGTGAACTTAATGTTTGGCTTGTGTCCTATCCTCAGGATAACTGAATGCATCAGACAGATATTTCAAAATTTGAGAAGCCTTCAAATCCAAAACATTTCTGGTCTTAAGCATTTTGATAAGACATACTTAACCTGTATTACAAAATAGTTGATTAACATTTTGAGAAACAGTGGTATATATTTGACCAAATTGTTCTGTTTAGAAATAATAGTGTACATGTTTTTAAAATAACTGAGCCAAGTATGGTGGCACACACCTGTAATGCCAGGACTTGGGAGGCTGAGGCAGAAGGATTGCTGTGAGATCGAGGCCAGCCTGAACTGCTTAGGGAAACTGTCTCAAAGACCAAAAAAAAGCCAACTAACTGAAAATTTTACAGTGTTTGAACTGATTAACAATGTCGTATACTTTTAACCTTTTTGAATTTCAAAGTTTTATGTTGCTTGCATTGGGGGGCCAGAGATTTAGCTCAGCGGTATAAGCACCTGCTTTGAAAGCACGCGGTCGTGAGTTCAATCCTGATACAAAAAAAAAGGAAAAAAAAATACATATATATATTATTTGTATTATCAGATATGCTTAAATTTTTGTATTAGAACAGTTGTACATATAAAATTTATAATACCTTCATAGTATCTGCTTTTTCTAAAAAAAAATAATGAGCGCACGGCAGGAGTGATGACACATGCCTGTAATCCCAGCAGTTAGAAGGCTGAGGTAGGAAAATCACGGTTAGTTTGGGGCCAGCCTGTGTACAAAGTGGGTTGAAGGCCAGCCTGAACTGTATTGTAAAACCTTGTCTCAGATAATAATTATAATAATCATAATAATAAGCACATATAAGGTTAGTGGCCCCCAGATGTAAAATATTTTCTAGACAAAAAGTGTAGAGCATGATAGTCCTTGTTTGATATATAACTTGAAAATTTGGTACCAGTGAGAGTCTTCATTTTCATTTCTATAGAAGATCCCAGAAGGGTAGTATACATGTCCCAAGCCAATTGTTTAATTTCTGTGACTGCTCTGTAAGTGAAGGACTGGAAACGGGCATCCACATGGTGTTGGAAGTTCCCATACAGTGAGTGTGTTTATTGATCAGCAGTAGGAAAACTTTTTATTTACAGCCTTAAAAATTAATGAATGTGTTTTCTCAAAGTTTAACTAGAAAGTGAGACTTGGCTAAATTAATGGAGAAGTAAAAACTCTTCTTATATCTGTTACATTATTTTGCAAACTGATATATATAGAATACTATTAAGAGCCACCATTAGATGCTAAAAAAGTATCTGATGAACAGCATAAGTATGGTAATAGCTGGACTAACCTCATTTTAATTGTTGGATTTCTAAGAATCTTAGATATTAATGTGCATTGTAAATTTCCTAGAAGCAAATGTGGTATGCAATGTCTCCCACAGCTGTTTAACCACTGAATCCCACTTTCAGGCAGAACTACTAATACATTCTAGAATGTTTCATTGGGTGGTAGAAAACATACGCACTAGTTCTGGCAGGTGGGACATGCAGAATCATTAAAAGGCTGGTGTTGTCTTTGGCGTGCAAGTACAGCATTATATTTCCAGTGTTGAAATTCAAGAAAAGTTGGTTGTTGGGATCAAGAATATAAGATGCTTTTGGAGTAGAGTGTGAGAAATTCAAGCAGTGTGGTAAAAAGAGGATTTCGGAGTTTGAGTCCTGACATCCATACTTAACAACTGTGTTACCTTGGCCAGGACTCATTACCCTTAGTTTTTTCAACTATTTCAAAAAGCAGTGATTTCTATTGTGCATCATTTCATGAAGTTAATAATAATCCTGTAAATAATGTTGCCATGCATGTTATGGTAGTAATTCTGAGAATCTCATTATTTTAACATAGATTTAAATTTTCTTTTGTTCTTTGTAGAGTCCGGAGGTGAACTGGATATTGTCGTGACCTCAAATAAAGAAGTAAAAGTGGCTGCTGTCCGAGATGCCTTTCAGGAAGTCTTTGGCTTAGCTGTGGTCGTAGGGGAAGCTGGACAGTCCAATATTGCCCCACAACCAGTGGGCTATGCAGCTGGATTAAAAGTGAGTGACTGCTGGATGTGGTGGTACATACTTATGATTCCAGCTACTGGAGCCTGAGCAGTTTAGCAAGAGCCTGTCTCAAAGTAGTTTAAATGAAAGGGCTGACAGTATAACTTAATGTTGACTAGTTGCCAAGCACATGTAAGGCTCTGAGTTCAGTCCCCAGTGTTGGAAAAAAAAATAGACCACCCTTTTAAGGATGTGGAATCTGCCAATTAATGTTATTTGATAAATACAATAACAATTCTGTATGGAACTATTTACTAAAGTGATGTTCAGACAACTCTAGTATTAGGAAGATATTATAAAGTAAGAAAATCAAGGTAGGATTTGATTATTGATGGAGGAAAAGAAAGAAACTCAACTCAGTACTTTTCAGTAGTCAGTATTTGTCTCATTGCTGAAACACAATACCCAACACCAAAGTTAAAGGAGCAAAGGGTTTTTTGGCTCACAGTTTGTGGAGGTTTCAGTGCATAGTTGGCTGAGTCCCAGGTAGGGTGGCATTGAAGAGGGGCATCACAGAGGAGAAATGACCCACAGCAAGGAGGCAAGCAAAAGCATGTGAGCCTTCTGTCTGTCCCTTGTATTTTATGTAGGCTACTTACCCTAGCACTCACGCACTTGATCCTAGCCAGAGCTATGGCAGAGCAGTCAGTGGACTGATTTAATAATCTCGTACCCTTATTCGCAGCTCCACACACTCTAGATCCAGCTACCTCTGCAAAGCGCCCCCTGTGACTGCCTGAGGCTTTGAGGGGACATCTAGATATAGCCATAAGAGAGCACAAGGAGTTGTTGGTCGTAAAAAGGGTCTAACCCAGTGTTAATATTCAAGCCAATTACTGAAATTACAGTATCCTTAAAATCCTGAAAATTTTAAATAATCTGTTAATAATACTGAAAACGTTAGTTTCAGGAATTCTTGCACATTGCTAAAAATTCTTTGCTGTTGTATTGTGACCTACATACATATACTCATGCATGAAGTGAACAGTCATTGTCATACAAACATTTCTCCCTCCTTAAAAAATAAAAGTGCCAAACAAAACCCACAACAAATCCTTTGACCTCATTTCCCTAACCTGCACCTTTATTTTGCTTTCTTGAGCAGTGTTAGTCCTCCAGGAGTCACCAGTGCTTTTCTTTAGTTCTTCTTTTTACATTCTCTTACCTCTGCTCCAATCAGGCTTTGTCCTCAACACTGCTGAGAGTGTGCTCAATGTCACCGGGGCACTGCATATGACTTGATGTAGCAGGGGTTTCTAGACAGTTAACAACTCTTCAGTGCTGTTCCTTGACTCCCTGGAGACACACTAAGGACTGGGGTTTTTTTGTTTGTTTGTTTGTTTGTTTTTTAACTTCACTGAATGTTTGTGGCCTCTGCTCTTCCTGTGTGGCTTTCTCTTCTCCCCAGCCTCTTGTTCCTTCTCCACTTGCCCCCTTGTTGATCTCCTATCCTGTCTTTAGACACCGTTTCTGTGAACCATGCCAAGTTTGTATCTTCACTGAGACCTCTTGTACAACTTTTGATTTACATAAAAGTCATCATTTGACAACTTTACTTGGATATCTCAGATTTAATATGTCTGGAACTAAATTTTTCTTTCCCCTAGACTTGCTTATCCAGCCCTCTCCATCTCAATTAGTGACGTTTCTAACCTTCTGCTTTCTCAGGTGAGAAATCTTAGAGTCATCCTGAACTTATTGTATTCCATTCATCAAGAAATCTTGTTTGCAAAATACACAATTGTTGGTTTTCACTGTAGTTCCATTCTTTGGGGTTGCCCCAGACACTGAGTGACTACTGAGCCATTGCCCCTGGGGAAAATAGAGGATTAGGTCCCTATGGGATTTTGATCATAGCATTTTTGCCAGTCTGTCAATATACAATTGCTCTGTATCTGTTTCTGTATAAATCTCTCTTTCTCTCTCTCTGTATATATGTATACATATACACACACATATTTACATATTTATTTTTGATTGATTCTATTGAACTTTCATAGCCAAAAGTACTATAACTCATATTTAAATAATATTTACAAATGAATTTTGGTGATTAGTCAGATTCACCAACATAGAATCCACTAATGTAGATTTATATTTGAGGAAAAGTACATTTTGGTTTTTGACATCCTGGTATTATATATTAAGGAACTTCAAATAGTGTACATTAATTGAACATATCCTATGAACCAGGCACTTTAGTCACTCATTTAATACATGTAAAGTGTTAGAGTCAGCAATTGGTGTAGAATATTTCTCTATCATGCAAAAGTCTAGTGTATTGATCATAAGTAGTCACTAACGATTGCTTAGAATTACCCCACACTGGTGCTATGTTATTTTTAATTTTACTGGACAGTGCTTCCTTTATTTGAAGTGCTTTTTCATTTATGTGTAATGCTGTATTTAAAGAGAATATGGAGCTCTTTCTGTCCTCACACAAACACTAAAACCACTCTGAATTTGGAGCTGTCAGGTAGTACTCCTACTATATTAAAGGTAGTGAATAACACACATCAAATTACCTATCTCCTACCTTTACACTTTTCATAATGGTCTATCTGTAGATCAGTAATGCTGAGAACACACTCTGAAATGTTTCTGCTTTTCTGGTGGATTTCCTTTGAGTTTGATTCCCAGTGTTGAGTTTGATTCCAAGAAGGCTTTCTGTGGTGGAAAGATTTGATCTTTGTAGAATACAGCAAAGCTAACTGATGGCTATATGGTTTGAATTTAGTGTCACTTAAAAATGAAGAAAGTATGGCAAGTAGCTAAGTATGTAGTGCAGTAATTGTACATCCAACCAGTTATAAGGGAAGTAAATCGTAAGCATTTATGTGGGTGATTTTTATTTGAAAGACTAGAACAGGTCACATAGGTAAATTGAGATTATACTTACAAGGTTTCAAGAAGCTTTTGTAAATTGGAAACAGTTTAAGAATCTGGGAAGGTAGACTTTTTCAAATTACTTTTAAGTGATTATCTGGAGAAAATCCTAAAATAGTAATAGACTTAGATTTTTTAAAAAAAGGTAACTCCATGTTTTGAAATGATTAAAGCAAGACCTTTGTGAAGTTGTAAAACATTACGTAAATAAGATATGGAGATATATCATTCTTTTTCTAGCCTTTACCATAAAACTAAAATTATTATTTTTTTTTTTAATCTTTATTTAAGGAGAAAAGAAAAGAAAGAAAAAAAAACAGTGAAGGGGTACAAGTTATACAGATTTACAGAATAAAAAAATGCGCAGTAGGAAATCACTAGTTAATGGATTACATATTGCCATCTTAGAAATAATTGTTCAAGTCACAAAATTAAAGCTTGTAGAGTGGACATTCCAACAATGATACTGCAAACAGTTCTGTTCAATGATCCAATAAAACTCTGTGATATCATTTTCTATCTTATACTTTTAAATATACATGCAGTTATATAGTTTAGAGCACTTTCTTTTCCTCTCTTTTGTACAGTGACTATTACACATTTTGGGTTTCATTGCTCCCACGGTTCTTGTTGCTTTTTTGGAAGAGAGTAAAACCAAATGTGACATAACAGAACAGAATCGGTCAAGTCAAAAGGGTGGACATAATAGATAATATAAAAACATAATACAAGGTGATCAACAATGGTTACCCTAATGCCTCCCGCTATTTCTAATAGAATTGCCTATATCATTAGTTGTAATACAATTGAACAAAACCGTAAAGAATAAAACCGACAAAACCAAAACATTGGAGACATTGTAGGTCTTCAAAAGTAGATAAAAGTCAACGAGAATGGGCGTTATAATGAATCTCATTATCTTCTCAGCTGATGCCTAAACTTTCGAACCTGATACTATCCAGCAAAACAGAATAGAGGAACCTCAGTCAAAAACAAGATGGTGAGAGTAATACAGGGCTTCAAATCGAGATAATAGAAAGTCAAAGTGGGTTACTATATTATATCCTGCTATATTTTTCCCTGTAATTAAATGGATAAAAATAAAAAAGTAAATAAGGGAGTGGAGATTGAGAAAAAAAGAGGGCATAACAGCGAAACAGGGCAGATCAAAACATAACCATTTAAGCAGAATAGTGTTTCACCACCAGCTAATCCTGACCCAAAAATAGTTACCATATTGACTCCCTCCCTGAAGTCCTTGAGTACAACTTCATATACTGTAGCATTAAGTATATCAAAACAATGTAAATCCATTTAAGAGAATGACAGCATTATAGAGTATTTAGAATCGACTAACAGAAAATGAACAATGGTCTCTGTATAATCTCCTTGTCTTTAAAAGGTTTTTTCTTATACTATCGTACATAGTAAAATCCAATAAGATACAACCTGTTTAGACCATTGGAGACAGAAGAACAAAAGCTAGATGAGACTTCAAAACAAGATGGTACTAAATCAGCATTACCTATTAAGATGTCATTTTCTCCAAAAAAAGCTGTTCCTATCATCCAATCTTCTCTGTCTCATTTCTGTTGAGCTCTTTTTCTGTCAGTAGCTGTCAGTTTGTCTTCTTTGTTTTGTTCTCTGCTCTATTCGTTGTGGCCTCCCCGCCCCTATTTCTGGGTTCTTTGTATTTTTCTTTTTTTAGAATATCCTGCAATACTTTCTGTAGGGTTGAATTGGTGGTTGCAAATTCCCCCAGTTCCTCTTTATCTTGGAAGCACCTCGTTTTTCCATCAATTTCCAGGGACAGTTGTGCAGGATATCTCAATCTTGGCTGTAGATTATTATCTTTCAAAGCTTGAATTATTTCTCCCCATGCTCTTCGTGATTTGATGGTTTGTGAAGAGAAATCTGCTGTAATTTTGATGGGTCTTCCCTTGTAAGTGATCTGTTTCTTGTCTCTTACAGCTTTTAATATTCTGTTCTTGTATTGAATTTCTGGAATTTTTATTATTATATGCCTGGGTGTTTCTCTGTTAGGGTTGTAGGTAGCTGGGGTCCTGTATGCCTCATACATTTGAGTATCTTTACCTTTTGCTAAATTAGGAAAATTCTCCTGGATTATTTCTGTGAGTAGCTTTTGTAGTTCACTTGTTTGTGTCCCTACTTCTTCTTTTATGTTCTTAATCCTTAAGTTATGGCTCCTCTTATCATCTTCTTGTCTTTGTATTATTGCTGTTTGTTTCTTTGTTATTTTTAAGAAGTTTTTCATTTCATTCTCCCATGTTTCAAGTCTGCCCTCCAATTCAGATAGTCTGTCCTTAGTTTCTTTCAAGCTGTTATGCCAGTCTTGGGTAGACTTCTTGATTTCTTGATAGTCCCTTTGCACCTGCTTCACATACTCAATGCTTTCTCTGTTTTCTCCATCAAGCAATTCTCCCCTCTTTTTCTGTTCTTCCACTCCACCATCTGCTTTTTCCTGGGTGGTGCTTAGCATTTCTCTAACTATTCTGCATACTTCTAGCTTCAGGTCATTGATAACTTCATTCCTGAATTGGTCTATGAGGCTCTCTAAATGGCGCTTAATGTATATTGGTACAGTGTCCACTATTGCCTGATTCTCAGGATTGGAGGTCGAGGAGCCTTTTTTGTTGCTTCCCTTCCCCATATTTTCTGTTCCTTATAAAATGTAATCTTACACAGGAGGCCCGGCTTCCCTGCCTGTCAGCTACAGCTTGATCGAATTGCGCTGGCTAGTTGTTCCAGCTCACCGCTGCGCCCCAGGGAGTTGCGGAGGAGGCAGCCTACGCGGAAGTCGGTTGCTCCTCCGGGCCACCGTCAGGCTCTGGGATCTGGGCTAGGCCAGCCTAGGGAGTCCGCGAGCAGCGTCCCTCCGGCCAGGCACCTTTCACCAATCCCGTCCGAGAGGGAAATGCGCGGCTGCAGTTGCCACCGCGCCCTGCTCTTACAGGACTGCCCGCGCCCAGAAAATCCTCCGCTGGAGTCAGACTGCGGTAGGGAGTCAGTTCCTCGCTCACCTCGCCACCAGTCAGCCTTCCTTCCTGTCCGTCGCGTTTCCGACTCCGTTCCCAGACGCCCGTTCCCAGAGCTCGGCGGTTGCGTCTCTCCTTGCTGAGCCGCTGTGGAGGTAGCCGGCCGCCGCGCGGCGGGAAATCCAAACCGCGGTTTCCAATGGCGCGGAGTCGAGCCTCCACACCGAGATTTTTCTGTTCCTATTTTAGCGCCAGGACTGTATTCCAAGTTGGATTCTCTCAGCCCAGTTCGTTCCTGAGTCAGCAGAGCATATCTCTACTGGTTCGTATCTCCTTAGTCCGCATCATTCCTGGCCTCTGAGCCGAGCCTTTAGAGAGCGTTCAGTAGTTGCTGTTGTCTGTCCGCCATGTTCTCCAGCCATCAAAACTAAAATTATAAATATGTCATCTTTTTTCCCAGAACAGTAGAGGAAATAAATGAGAAGAAAAAAAATATAGAATCTTAAAATAAATAAATAAAAATCCACCCTTTTTTTTTTTTTTTTCTGTCAGATTTTACTTGGAAGTAGGTGACTTTTCTGAACTAAACTTGTTCTTTAAACATGAAATTATTTAAAACAATAAATCAGCTTAAAATTAAAGTTTAGCAAGTTTCAGAAACTTCTGTGAGACATTCATTTTATTGAAAAACTAATCATAGTTAGGACCATTGTTCATAGTTTATAAAAATTTTAATTATGCATCTGAAACAAGTTGAAACTCTTGGAGTATAATGGAAACTCTCAAGGCCTTTCTGTCTTGTAATTCAGTTTGAGATTGTTTCAGGGTGACCTTTTACCCTCTAATTCTTGATTCCCTAAAAGTCCTGTGCAGTAGTCTGTAAATAATGAAGAGACTTACTCTATTCCGTGGAAGTGTAAAATCTAGGAATTCTTGTCACAGCACATAGCTCAGATACTACCCTGAAGGTGTTGGGAATGAATCTAAACTTCCCATTAGACCACTAATAGTTCTTACTGTATTAACATTTAATCTTCTTTTTACTAAAAATGAAGCCATAACTCCTTCCTTGGGAAAAGTCAGTCAGCAAACTTACACCATCCACTATTAAGAATGACACTGGGGCTGGGGATTTAGCTCAGCGGCATGAGCGCCTGCCTGGCAAGTGTATGGTCATGAGTTTGATCCTGGGTACCAAAAAAACAAAAGAATGACATTAATTTTACCTGTTACATTTCTTTCAAAATCTGCAGCTGCTTCCTTGTTTCAGGGTTATCATGCTTGAAGAAATGGTTTTCATACTGCGTTATTGACTTTGGCTATAGAATTTTGGGAACCCTTTACTTTTCCTTTTGTTCAGTTTTTTGTGTGTATGTGTGTCATCTTGAGTTCTTGAATACTTTCTAGGTTAGGCATTGTGCTAGGCACTAGAGATTAAGAGTGAGCAAAATAGTCTTGTTTTATGATAGCATCTTTTTCTTTAGAGACTTTAAATTATACCTATTCTCATGCAGTTGTCACTTTCTCTCCTTTAGTGTCTGAAAAAAAATTCATTTTTCTCCAGAAGTGATTGCACTTTTTTTATTTTTGTCTAAATAAAAATTGAACACTCCATCTCATCTCCTGTGTGTAACTGTTCCACTTTTAAAAATGTAGGTTTATCACTCATGGCTGGTTTTGTTCAGAAATCATTTTGAATACAATATCCTTTGAACATTTTAACACATCATTCATGATCACTACTTATGAAATGATTCAGATAAAATAATCAGTAGCAACTTTGTCATTAATCCAACTTAGTTTTCTTGTATTCTTGTTTTGAAATATATATTTCATGATTGTGAGTTATCTAATATTCTCAACCCCTCAATTTTACTTTATTAATGGTAACTGTTGAATAAGCTTTACTACAATGTATTTACAACTTTTAAATAACTGATAATTTTGTTGTGTGGTGCACTAAATTAAACGACATTAGAAAAAAGAAAAATATTTACCACTAATGTGATTACCTATCTAAAATGTAAAGGGAGACTCAAGTAAAAATTCTTGATTTTTAATCCAATAAAATGGCCCTTTGACAGATCAACATTAAAAAAACATTGTTTTCCTACATTAGTAATCAGTTAGAAAATATAATTTAAAATAATGTATTTAACAGTTGCAGCCAACATCGTATTGTAAATGGAAGCAGTTTAGAAGATGCACTCCAAACTCAATAGTGGGAATGTAATTGGTCTTTTTCATTTTTTGCTCCATGTTCTTTTGTATTATTTAAACATCTACAGCATGTGTGTGTATAAGTTGTGTACATATTACTTATATAATCAAGTAAATAATAAAAAATGAGTATATTAAGTATTTTAGAAAAATGGTTTCCAATCTCTGCCAATGTCATTTAGGGCGCCCAGGAGCGGATAGATAGCTTGCGTCGAACTGGAGTCATCCACGAGAAGCAGACTGCTGTGTCAGTAGAAAACTTCATTGCAGAGCTGCTGCCCGACAAGTAAGAGGCTTACTACACTTCTCTTAGAAGCAAAACGCAGCTGGGTCTGGGAGTTCACCCTGAATACCTAGAAGGACGGGTCTCCTGTGTGAGCTCCAGAGAGAAAAGTGTGTTCTGATGCCTGCTCTTACCTCTTCAGCTGTGCCCTTCTTGCTTCTTTGTAAATTATAAAGTGGAGGTAGTAATGTCCGCTTTTTAGATTGTGTTGTAATAACTTAATGTAACAATACTAAATATAAGGTGATATAGCGGTGCATTGGTTTATATATAATTGGCCACAGGTAGCAAACACAGTTCTTCTCTTAGTTATTCAAAGTAAGGGAAGTGTATATGCAAGAAGGCTGGTGGCAGTCACCAGAGTTTGAGGTTCTATAGAGCACTGTCTGTGTGTGTGTGTGTGTGTGTGTGTGTGTGTGTGTGTGTGTACTTTAGAAAAATCTTCAGACAGTGTAATTCAGCACCGATTTTTGTTCAGACATAACTTTTTTTGTAGTTACCTTGTGATTTTGTTATTTTTTCTTTATTTTTGTGTTTGTGCGGTGTTGAATAATAATGTACATAGCATAGAGTGACTGTAATATACAAAAAAATATCCTCTAAAGGGATATTATGAGCCAGTTGAGAGAAAATACATGTACAAATGAAGAGCTTTAATTCCTTTTTTTTTTTTTTTTTTTTTTTTTTTGGTGCTGGGGATCGAACTCAACCTGCGCTTGCCAGGCAAGCTCTTAGGCCAGTGAGCAGAATACCCAAGCCTAAAGTTTTAAAAAAAATTTTAAAGAGCTTCAAATAATTATAAAAAAGTTAAATAACTTTTTAACCAAAAAGTTACATGAAATTTCAAGTAACTCTGTAGAGTCATGTGAAATTTATGTGTCACATAAAATTTATGAAAGATTGGGACATGAACTAAATTTTGAAGAACAGTTAAAACTTGGGTGAGTGAGAAAAAACAGGTCGGGTATTCTGGGTAGAGGGCAAATTTGAAGATACCAACAGGTATTCCAGGACAGTGATTGTATCATCCTGGCTGGAAGCGTGTTGGATCGGAAATGAAGTGGTGTGAGCACAGACGGGGAAGAACTTTTTATTCTAGGCTGAGCAGGTTGAATTTTCTGTGTATGCACTGAGGAACTATCCAGTGATTACTAGTACTTAGTTTTATCCAGTAACCTCTTACTATCTGTTTAATGGTTACCTTGGAGATTATAATTTGCCTCTGGAAGGGCTTTTCTCCCTTCACTTTGTCCTTGCTCTCTCATAGCTCTAAATACATGATTCACATAACTCATCTAGCTTTTTACTGGAAATGTTGGCCTGCCATAAAATACTCCAACACACCTAGATATGGTTTTTCCCATCAAATACCTTAGTTTTAGAAAAACAGTAGAATATTATGATCAGTAACATTCAGTAGTACTAGGAAGTCTGCGCATAATATGAGTTAAGGAAGAGTGAAAACAAAAATTTTAACAGTAAAGTACAGAGTGGGGAGAGAAGGACTAGAGAATGTAAATATAAGGTGGTTTTTGTAGCTACTTCCCTCTGCATTGCTCCTGTGAGAAATAAATGCCTAGAAGATAAAGGCAAGGAAATGCGTGCTTAGAAACGAGAGAAAAGAACTATCCAGGAAGAGCCCACCAGCTAAAAGAAGAAATCACAGATGTGTTTGGCCCTTAAAGAGGAATGCTAGTTTAGATACAGTGTTTTTCAACTGCTGTCTGTGTTGGACTCTCTGTTTCTGCTCAATGAGAAAATCTAGCACGAAGTGTATAACCTGTGGAAAAATGCCAGCATAAGCATAAAGTGCCCTTATTCTGAGATTTGTCTAGTGTATGGTGTTAAATCTTGAGTTATGTTAATTGTGCCAAAATATCCCTAAAATACTGATTGTTGATAGCAGATGCTTTTTCACTGGTAAAGGATACAAAATGGCATCTCGGGATCAGTTCCCCAGATGCTGTTGTGTAGTTCTTTTCTGCTATGTGAAATCTAAATATTTTAGAGCCATAGTTCTTCTTTAGGCCTTTTATAGTAAAACTGATTTTTAAATAGGCTTGTTCAAGTACATTGTATTTCACCAGCCACTTGGAGAGAGAGAGGTGGAGTCTCCATTGACCCTCCTTACATATGATCAGTCTAGATTACCTCTGTTTCTCTTCTCAAAGTGGCAGCAGCAGGGAGGATGGGAAATGTGTATGAAGGAGGGAGAAGAGGACTAAACATTTTCTTAGCCAGCAGTCCTAGGGACAGAAATGGAGTGGGTAGGAATGGCGTATGGTTTCACATGGTCTGAAGTGAAGAGTTTGGGAAAGCTGCTATCCAGGTCAAATATTCAGTAGCATGGTCGTGTTATAGAAGACAAAGTATCTTGGAGCTCACGTGTGTTTGCTCACTAGCATGTTGAAAGAAACTCTTCTCATATCTCCAGGGACTGCTTTTCAGGACATGCATGCGTAACACTTTAGTCAGTTCATTATCCGTGATAGACATTATTGTATACAAATTACGTAAAATGGTGCAAAATAAAATTCAGCCAAGCTTGGCTTTGTGGAGATTCCACAAATGTATTTTCTCAGTTGAGAAATATTATCATAACCAATGTAAAATTTTGTTTAGTATACCAAATAAAACATAAGTCATTATTCTTAAATTTTAGGATATGACTGCTACAGACATTCAAACCTCCATTTTATTATTTAGCAGAGTCACTTATATTTATTTTTGACTTGGTTTTGAATATGTAAATAAGTCTCCTAATCAATTTTATTTTGTTGTACCTTGTTACATCGACATATGTTTAAAAATGGAGACATTGAACATTATACTGTTCCAAATACTCATATTGTTTAAATTTGTAATTTCAGGGCAGAAAGACAAAAAAATTAAATTTGCTGGTAACTGCTAGCTAACTGCTTATTAATGATAGAGATGGTAACATAAATGTCCATATTTTAGCAAGTAACATGTAATGTGACTTGAGAGAAGCTGTTTGCATGTTCAGGTGTATGTAACCTTTCTTTTGCCTGTTTGTGTAATCTCCCTTTTTATTATTCCTCCGCTATTTTAGCAAGAAAGGAAACTTTCTTTTCTTCTTTTTATTTAGAGAAAAAAGCAAAACAAAAAAGAGTACAAATAATACAGAATTTCAAAAAATAACAGTAAGAAATCACTAGTTGATAAATTACATATTGTTATCTTAAAAGTAGTTATTCAGGCTACAAAATCAAAGCATAAAAGTGAACAATCAATGATAGTACAAACTATTCTGTTTGCTAAGTTAACAAAAACTTAGTAATGTGGTTATTTATCTTGCATTGCACACTTACACATAGTTATATCCTTCAGAGCACTTTCTAAGAAAGGAAACTTTCTATGATCAACTTTAATTATTTCATCTTTCTTGTTATCTCTTTTACTCCTTTTTGAATTGTTAGCAGAGTAATTTTATCTATCGTTTCAAGGTTGTCTCCTTGCAGAGTATTTAGAAAAATTTGTGTTTTTTTTAAATTCTGTTTTATCTGAACAGTAAACTTTTTTTTCTTTTTGTCCATTCACTGAAACTTTTATTTCCCATACGAATAATACGAAAACTGTGTACTCTGTTACAGATGGTTTGACATTGGGTGTTTGGTAGTGGAAGACCCCGTCCATGGCATTCATCTAGAAACCTTTACCCAAGCCACACCCGTGCCTTTGGAATTTGTTCAACAGGTTGGTTTTCTCTTTTGGTATTTATTTTAGTTAAGTTTGTTGGTACACTTTAGATGTGCATAATGATTACATTTGTCATAGGGAACTTGCACCTGTACGTGATACGTCGTGGTTCCTGTTTTTCCCATTCTCCTTCCCTCCCTTTAAACGCACTTCCCCTCCTTATTTACAAAGCTTTGTTTCCATCTTACCACCTGCCCCCCGCACTCATTTTTTCTGACCAATTTTTTTATGTCACAATATCTTTTATACATTTTGATTCTTACTTACATTTTCAGTTTCTCACACCAAGGAGACAATGTGATATTTACACATGTGTGTCCAGTTTATTTCATTTAAGACTATGGTTTCTAGGTCCATCCATTTACCTAGAAATGTCTCAAGTTTATTCTTCTTCATAGCTGAATAGTATTCCATTGTAGAAAATAGCCACACCTTTTTCATCCATTTAGCAGTTGGTGGACATTCCGGTTGTTTCTAAGATTTAGCTTTTATTAGCTGTGCTGTTATAAGCATGGGTGTGCATATATCACTCCCATGATATATGCTTTTAATTCTTTTTGGAAAATACCAAAAAGAGGAATAGCTGGGGCAAATGTAACCTCTAGTCCTAGTATTTTGAGGCCTCTCTACACTGGTTTCCACAGTGGCTGCACCAGTCTACACTCCCGGCTACAGAGGAGAAGGGGTTCTTTTTCTCCATAGCCCTGGTGACACCTGTTACTGATTGATTTCTTTATAATAGCTGTTCCTTCTGCAGTGAGATGGCAGGCATCTCAGCATTGCTCTAATTTGTGTCTCTTGAATGATCAGTGATGTTGAACATTTTTTCATGTATTTGTTTGCCTTTGTACGTCTTTGTCTGAGAAGTGTCTGTTTCAGATGCCTATTTTTTGGATTGGGCCTTTAAATTGGGCCGAGGGGTCTGGTTTTTTTCAATTCTTTGTATGTTTTAGATATTACTTCTTTGTCTGAAGAACAACTGGCTAAGAATTTTTTCCCATTCTGTGGGTTGTCTTTTCATTCTGTTGATTTCTTTTTCTGTACAAAAAAGTTTTTTGATAAGATGAGATCCCAGTTGTTGATTCTTTGTAAAAGTATTTTCTGTGCCATCTGAGTTTGTTCATGAAATCTTTGTCTACACTATGTATTCAAGAGTTTTACGTATTGTATCTTCCAGCAGATTTAATATTTAATACTTAATGTTTTAGATCTTTGGTTTGTTTGGATTTTAGTTTAGTGCCTGGTAATAAGACATGTGTCTAGTTGTAGTCTTTAGCATGTGAAAGCCAGTTTTTCTTTATATTCTGGTGAAATACTATTTTGAGAATAAAAATTTGTGCTAAATTTTTTTCAGAAGTATGCTCTTGATTTTGAGTTTTGTTTTTTTTCTGATATTCTTTATTTGCTTTTCAATTTCCTGGTCTTCATATGTTTTTTAGTATCTTGTTGCTTTTGTTTTGATTTTCCTTAAAAAGATAATGTATCACATAGTTACTTTTTTTCCTTGTTTTTGTGATTATATTTCTATGTAAGGTCAAAGGAACTTTATTTTTCTGCTTATTACATGCCCATCTTTCTTTTACTTCCTCCTTTATGCTTCATGTTTGCTTCCCTTTTGCTACATTTGCCATCTCCCCAATCTTCCTTTTTAATTGTACATCTTACGTAGCAAGTCAGTATTAGAAATCTTAAATGGTAATCACATATCTTTAGATGTGTGGAGTGAAAAATGAACCTAATGGTATAATTGTCTGTAGTTTCCAAAAGAATACAGACATAAATAATTGTTATTTTTCTATAAATTTCTCCAACTCTTTCATGCATAAAATGTAATATATATATATATATGTATTTACATTGGAACATGTACTATTAAAAATAGTTAATTGACTTTTTTCTGTCTTAAAATTATTTGGGCTTTATAAACATTTGAAAATCTGATAAAACTATAAATTCATTGTATGCATAGTTACATACACATTTGGCATATTGTATTCATAAAGTGGCGGAAAGTCATCTGTGACCCATTTAGAAGCTTGTAGTTTGGAAAGGAAACTAAGAATTGATACCTAGATTTTTGAAATTTTCATAGAATTTTTATTTATACCATAGTTTCTTTTCAAAACTTTAGAAAATTTTTAATAGGTGTCAAATTCATTCCAATATGAAGTTAATTAAAAAATTATAAGTGAACAGAGTGCATACTGTTATACCAGCAAATTTAGATAAAATGATAGATTTTGTAGGAAAATATAAATTTTACTATTGATTCAGAAGTATTAGGTTGAGTTGTACAAAATTACTGTTTGAAAGAAACAATCATATATTATCAGTTTCATGATTTAACCCAATTACTGTATCTCAGTGAGTCATTATAGTGAAAGAATTCCATCTAACCAAAAAGCTTTACATTGTAATGGTGTTAAAGTGAGTTCCACAAAGTATTCAAGATAATTGATTCTTATGCTGCATAGATGTGTTCTCCTGGAAACAGCAGTGGAGTTTCCAATTCAGGTGTTTTAGCTGGGGCTTGAGAACCTGTTTTGCAAAAACAGACTCTCAAGTGATTGTAATACATAACACAGTTAGGAATCGTGGTACAGTTAAGATCCATTCTATATACAGCAGTCCTTCTCTGGACTGGACTCCCTGAAACAGAAAAACCTACTCTATGCTGCTGTGAAACAAAGAGTTTATTGTTTTATACCTGGATGGGTGAATAAGTAATCTGAATAGAAGCAGATGGAGGATGGGTTATGAATAACACACAAAAATGGTATGCTCTCTTGGGCTAGACATTATTTGTTATGTATTAATTTGCTGATATGTTAGTCATGTTCCTGGGCATAGTTTCTACAAACTAATTCAACAGTTCTTTCCTGAATGGGACGATGCCTTAATATGCAATTGACTCTTTCTGGTTAGAATTTTATGACTATAGAAAGACAGTTTGAACACTAACCCTATTATTCTAATTATTCTTATTATTCAGTACAAGGATTGAACTCAGGATTTTTGCACTAAGCTACTTTTCCAATCTTTTTCTTTTAATTTTGTTTTTAAACACTGAGGCAGGGTCTCACTAAGTTGCTAAGTTGCCCAGATGGAACTTGAACATGGCAATCTTCTTGCCTGAGCTTCCCTGTGTGCTGACATTATGCAGCCACCAGTGTGCCTGGCCTGCACTGTGTGTCGTTAACCTGCGATGGCACTGAAGGCAGAGCTGCAAAGTAAACCTTTGGCCCTGAGCTCTGAGTAAGTGGGTGATGAGATTTAGAACTTACATGTGCACAAGGCCCTTGGTTCAATTCTCAGCACTGGAAAAAAGAGAAGAGTATTATTTGAATAGAAGAAATGAGCGCAAGGGGAATGTCTTTAACAGTGTAGATGTGTGTAGTGTTACTTCACTTCTTTTGTGGCCCTGTAACTTTACTGTCCTTGGCAGCACAGCTGTGTTCCTTACGGTTTGTCATAATCTGTGTGAAAAGTAATCTCCATCAGGACTTTCAGGTGTCACTTAAACCACAGCTAGTCCCAGTGATGTTTTTAAATGCATCCTAAGTGTTAGGGATTTTATTTTTCCATAGGCTCAAAGTCTGACTCCCCAGGACTACAACCTACGGTGGTCAGGCCTTTTGGTAACAGTGGGCGAAGTCCTGGAAAAGAGTTTACTGAATGTCAGCAGGACTGACTGGCATGTGGCCTTTACCGGTATGTCGCGGCGACAGATGATCTACAGTGCAGCCAAGGCTGTGGCAGGCATGTACAAACAGCGCCTGCCCCCCAGGACCGTGTGAGAGGAGACGCGGCGCACTACGACGTCTTCCTTGGAACTTGCTGTCAAGAAGAAATTGTATCTTCTTAAACTGAGTAACTTCAGTGAATCTAGAGGTTTTGTAATATTTCCTGCAATATTTTTCCTAGACGGGCATGGTATCATTCCAATAGAAGAAAAGCATAGGTCTTTTTTATAACTATATAATTGTGCCTGCCCTAGTTCTCAAAAAAGAAAATATACAAATATATTTATAATAAGTACAACTTAACATGCCAGATTTATACAATGGGAACTCATTTGCAAACACATTGAATTTTCTCATCTGTACCTGATTTTGTTTTAAAGACTTGTTTATTGAGTTTATTTTGTGTCTGTGTACCTGACCTTGGTCTGATGTGAGCAGAGTGCTCAGCAGTTTACCCTAAGACACCTACTTGTCGGGATGTGTTGCACGTTTCTATGCATGTTTTATACCTTGTGGGCTACAAGAAGAGAATTGAGCGTTTCTTTCTGGTCCTCACGTATACATATAGTTCAGAAAGTTATACTTGTTCCCTTTCTAAAAATAATTTTTGGTATTTTGCAGATTTATACTATGAACATTGGGATAATACATTGTATTTTTTCATTGGTGTATAACAACTAAAGAACAAATGACCCAAGTATGCTTTGGATTAAATGTATCTGTGTTGTTTTTGTATAATACTGATCAGCACTTCCAAGGATAAACTCTGACAACAGCCGTCTTTCTGCTTCTGCTTATATTTTCCATACTGTAAAAGTTTTAGGGGGATGGTATGCTTATTTTAATTAAGGTTTCTTCTTACTTGGTTTGCCTTAAACACTACTTTTTTAACTTTGTGCCATTCTGCCTCTTTTATAGACATTTTCAAACAAACATTTTTATTTAGTCTAATTTTTTAAATTCATTATGTTTGTATTTAGTGAAAGCATTTTCTTCCCTCAGATAATATATCTTAACCATTTTTGGATTTATATAAATCAAAAATGAGTAAATTTTTTCTTATGCAGTGGAACTCTATGCAAGTTCATGTAACTTTAATGATAGTTTCATATATAAATGTAATTTAATTTGTATTTACTCTCCTATGCAGTTATTTAGACGTAAAAAGTGACAATTTCTGCCAGTTATATAGGTATCAAAGCTTCTATCTGGTACTGTTTTTACATGTAAGGTTTGTTTTGTATTAGTGATATTTCTAATGATTATTTCATTTCTCTCATTTGCTACCTGAGAATGACAATTCTTAGTTTTGAAACTATTTTACTTTCCAAGCACTGTGTAATCATTTTTCAGAGAAATTCAGACATTAGCATCATTCAGAGCAGTGAGAGAAGTGAGATACAATCATTTACTATTGTGAACTTTTGCCCAGGAGCAATAGGAACAGAATACTTCTCTTTGTAGGAAAGAGAAGTCTTTCTCTACTATTCTGCCTCATTCATAAAGCTGCCCTTTTCTGATGGTATTTATCAGGGCATTGGCCTCATGATAGAAGCTCAGTCTTTTAATACCGGCTGAAGCCCATAATTTAAATAATTCTGCTACTTCCATATTGCAGGGAAATACAGGTCTTAAAAATATCTGAAATTTTATTTGGTTTGGTTTGGTTTTTACCACTTCTGAAGTCTCTTCCTTAATGCTTTTGAAGGTTGCCCTGATAGAATCAGTTGGTGTTTTCTTGGGTGATTTTCCTGCAGCCCCCACATACCAGTGGCTTAGTTATGCCATGGCTTGGTTAAAGTTAGGTAAATTTTCCTGCACATGGCAACCTCAAGGTAGACCTTCAGCTCTTTGGAACAGTGTGAGTGGGTGAGGAGGAGTAAACAGAGGCAGATAGAAGAGAGAAATCCGTGACCTGGTCTGGCCTCTGATTCTTTCTTGGTCCACATTCTCTTAGACATCAGAGCATGTTTGACTGTACACACTCAGCTTTCCCATCTTCCGTTTTGTCTTCCTGGGACTTTCCTGTTACAGCAGGAGCACAAAGAGTAACTCACAGTCTCCAGCACACTGGCAGCTGGGCCTGGCAGTCTCGCTGGTGCCGAGTGTGCATTAGCTGGGTGAGTCTTGAGTTGGAGGCCACAGGCTGCCTGGTTGGTCCTCGAGCTCCACGTCTCCTTTTCTCTTCCTGTCCTTTCCCTCTAATCCCACTTTGGCCTCTGTTGGGGGAGATGGTGGATGTCTATTTGCATTTTTTGTTTGTTTCTTAAGCTTTTTAGAAAAACTCATTTTTAACACAATTGATATAGTAATTGTGGTTTTTGTGATTTTTTTTTTCTGAAGAGTTCCAGATTACTAAATTTTATGTTTTATAGATTCACACCAATTAATGTTGTAACCTCATGCACTTAACTTTTTAATGAGTGTAGAAGAAAAAAACAGGAAAATTCAGCCTCAGGTTATTGCTCAGTTTATTTAATTCCAGGCTTCTTTTAATTGTTGTTGTTCTTTCTTTTTTGTTTTCTGCTTAAACCCAGGGCTTCATGCATACTAGGCAAGTGCTCGGCCACTGAGACAACTACCCCCCTGTTAAGGTTTTAGTCCAGTGTCATGCTGGACTTAAGCTGCACCTCAGAGACTGAAGTTACAAAACTTGTAAGTGATACTGGTAGCTTCCTCTTCTGACTTACTTGTCCTTTTTGCCTCCACATTGTTTGTTCCTCATTCTCTTCAGATTAATAAAGTAGAAAATTGAGATGATATAGACAAAAAAGTAGTATGATAGAATAAGTGTATGAAAGTACACTGCAGTTGTATAATGTATGTATGTCTTTTCAGAAATATGCAAATTATCAGTTAACTCAGGGTCACCTAAATTAACATGCAGTTGAACTTCCTCTGTTCCATGGCTAGATAAATTCTAAACATAATTTTGTGATTTGTGAAGCCAAATCGGTAATATTCTTTGTTTTAAAAGTTGTTGGGTTAAACATAAATTACTAAAAAATGTAGATTTCTACTCCCAGGAAACAGTGTTCATTTTGTGATATTATGCAGAATAATGTATGAGTAAAATCAACTTTGTAAGTATGTAAATATGTCATAAATAAATAATACTTTGACTTACCTCCCAAAGGTATATAGTGATTTTCAAATGCCCCTTTTTATTAGTACTATACTAGAAGGACCCATATTTCTTTTTTTATCTAAATTGGTTACTGGCTGCCAAAAATTCTTATAGGAAAAATACCATCATTCTAATGGAACTGTAACATTCAGATACACCAGAGTTGTTATTGTCAGGATCAGACAACTTCCTATTTAGGAGAAAGAATACACTGGCAATAAAGATAATTGAGCTAAGATTACAACCTGTATTTATGAGAGGACCTGTTTAGTGCTGGATTTAATTTGCCTTTGATCACTAGAAATACGTTTTTTTAGTGTTCATAGTGTGCACTAAGTTTCATTTTTGGTGTTATATGTAGGCTTGGGTAAATGTACAGTGACATGTATCCGTCATTAGAAAAGCATGAAGTATTTTCATTCCCCTAAAAGTTTCCATGTTCTAACTGGTCAACCCCCGCCCCACCCTAGACCTCTCTTAACCACTAATCATTTTACTATCTCCTAGTTTTTCCCTTTCTAGAGTGTCTTATAGTTGGAATCATACGCTGTGGCAGTAGCTGTTTCATACTGACTTCTGCTTAGTAGGACATACTAAAGGTTGTTCCTTGTAGTTTTACAGGATGATATGTATTTTTAGTTTGTTGTCTAGATGTACCACAGGTTACTTTTCACTTCCCCTGCTAAAGGTTATCTTGGTTGTGTCTAGGTTTTGGCACTTAATGAATAAACCTTACAGTTTATGCTGTAAGGTTGATGTCTAGATTTTTGTGTGGACCACATTTTCAGCTCCTTTGGATGAATACTTTGGTATACAATTGATGTTACGGTAAGAGGGTTAATTTTGTTTAAAATGCCAAACTGAGTAAAAGTTTATTTCTTTCTGTGTTCATTAGTCTGTGTTCATTAGCTTGTGATTCCACGACAAAAGACACTTGTTTTGGTTTAGCCAGGTGGGGGCTGCAGGGCTCAGGGTGGAGTGGAGGGTACTTGCCAGAAGGCAGCAGAATACTGACTTGGGGTAGGTTGTTTGCTTGATGAGAGAGGACAGTATTGTATTTAATAGACTAAAAGAATATCACTTCAGAGACCGGGAAAGGCCATACTACATTTATATTCCATTTCAGAATTAACTGGAGAAGAAAAATTTTGGCAGTAGAAATGAAATTGGAGAGAGAATATGAAGGAGATTTAAAAGGAGCTGCTATGAACTCCTTTTAAGAATTAAAAAGTAAGAAGGAACTAACCTCTGAAGTACATAGTTAGGCGCGAAACCAAGAAAGTTAAACCTACTTAGGTTATTGAGTTATCAAGATTTTATTTCTCCCAGTTTACATTGAACAAATGACTGAATTGGTTTATCTACACAAAAATGTCACAACAGAAGAATCACAGGATTTAAAGTGGGATTTGCTAAGTAAGCTATTCTATAAAATCCACAATATTTCCTTCAGGAAATTATGGGTGTGTAATTCTGTAGGTGTTTGTTGAATGAAACAGTTCAAGCGAAGCCAAGAAGACTTTGCTTTACTATTATTTTACAGTATTATGTTTAGGAAAATTTTTTTTCTCCATATTTCTGAGTTTCATTTGAAAGGGTTCTGCTGCTGATATGAAAATATGCTTGGGACATTTAGATCTTCTGCTTCCAAATTTAAGAAACTATAAATTTAAAGTTTACCTTGAATGTCATTTTTATGATAAAAGCCAGAAAGAGTCTCTAGTGACATCAAGCAGGTATTTGAAGATGGGTGTAGTAGTACATGCCTATAATCTCAGCTACTAAGAAGACTGAAGGAGGAGGATTGCAAGTTTGAGGCCAGCCTGGCAGTGTAGCAAGAGTCAAAATCCTTAAAAACAAACAAAAAGCCAGTGGAGGGGCGAGGGGTAGGGGGCTCTAAACAGCTCAGCCCTAGACACACTCGTCTACCATGTGAGTCCCAAGATTCAATCCTCAGTCCTAGAGGGAGGAATAAAATGGTGTTTAAAGAAAACTTACTGTGAACTGGCCTTCAAGCAAAGTACTAACTCTATGCTAACTCTGTTCCTTTTTAAATATTCTTAGAATATTTTGTTATTGAAACAAAAAAAAGTACATAAATATGGATGCACTCATGTAACTGAGGCAGTAGTAAAAAGCCCCCACATCACCCCTCAGGCCTCCTGAAATTGCCAGCCTCTACCATCTTTAGAAGGAAACCACTTCCTGAATTCAAATGTCACAGATTACTCTGCCTAGTGATGGAATTTCGCATAAGTGGAATCAAACAAGATCTTTTGTTGATTTCTTTAACATTATAGTTATGTGAATCACTCTTGTTAGAGCATACCTGTTCGTCTGTTGCGGAGCAGTTGTGCTGTTTACAGGTTTTTTTGTCTACAAAGCATACTGCAGCTATGCACAACTTACACAGTTCCTTTGGTACATACATGTGGTGTCTCTGTTGGGAGTACAGGTAAGACTGAACTTACTGGATCATAAAGTGTGCATATGTTTGATTTCATTAGTTATTGCCAAAATGTCTTACTGACTAAGTTTACTGTCCACCATTATGATACCATATTTCTACATGCTTTACATTGTTGTCAACTTGTATACCTTTTTAAATTTTGGTTTTAATTTGATTTTCTCTGAAATTAAAGATAATGAAATTGAAAAACTTGATTTATTTGGATATCATCCTAAATCTGCTAATTTTTTCCTTGGAAATATCTCATCTTTCATTTCCTTAGTAGCATCTTTCAGTAAGCAAAAGCTGCAAAATACAGATACCACTCTTTTCCTTTATGGTTAGTGCAATATACATACTGTTTTAAATTTAAATTACCCTAACTGACATTTTGGGTTGTTTTCTGAAATGTTTCGTTTGAGACTGACAGTCTTGCTATAATTATTTTGCATGTATATGAATCATGTGAAATAATGGTTAAAAGTTTTACCCTCCCAAATGGATTTGCGGCTGTCTTGACTCTGTTCATTAGAAAGCCCATGTTCAGACAGTGGAACTCTTTTAACTGGGCTGGATTCTTTTCCCATGTCTGCCTCCCCCTTTTTAAAACCTGGCTCATTTTTAAAACCTCAGTAATAATTACTACTAATAGCAGATAGTTTCTATTTGTACAACTAATTCTGAATTCTTGTGTCCTTGCAATATGATTCTGTTCCACATACTTACTAAAATGCACCACTAGAATGTAAGCCCACTAAGCTGCGGCCTGGTGGTTTGCATATATAGTAGACTGCCTAACGAGCATATTCATAAATAATGCATTATTTTTTGAATAATTATTTGAAGCATTTGAACAATTTTTTGAATAAATGAACTTGTGTATTTGGCCCCCTAGTTCATACTTTTTCTATATTACAACATGGTTATTAATGGATGCTTTGTTTTCTTTCCAGTAAAAACACTTAAATATCAAGCTGATTTTCCTAGTGTGCTATGCACACCTGTAATCCAGCACTCAGGAGGCTGAGCCAGGAGGATTGCGAGTTCAATTCCAACCTGAGCAATTTAGCAAGACTCGATGAATGAATAAATGTTATTTTCTTATAGGAAAAAGTTTAAAAAGTTGTAAAGAAGAGCTGTTCTGCTTTGGAAAGAAAGCTCCAGAATAGCGCAGGATCAAAACTCTGGATGGGACTGTGCTCACCACTTGGGAGCAGAGGAATTTCAAAAGAGTTTTTATTCCTCTGGGACTCAGTTTTGTTTGTAAAGTAAAGCTGGTGGTTCCAAAGGCAGAAGGCTGAGAGTCAGATGGAGCTGTACTGCGTCCTCTCAGGGTTTGAGTCCCTTTCTTAGGAACTTCTGCCATACTGAAGTATAGGGGTAGCTGATGAAGAGAATCCAAAGCGCTGGCCACATTCTTAAGCTTTGCCAGTGCTTGGAGGTCACTTCTGTCGGTTTCCCATCAGACATGACAGTCTCCATGGGTCCTTCTTAGGGAATTTCCAGGAGTAGTTTGGACTTAGATATTGCTATAATTTGGTATGTGTATTTCTGAAAACCCCTGCTTTCTGTAAAATTGTGTGCTACAAGTAACAGAGGTTATGGGAAAAGACAGCTATGAATAGATCATTCAAGACCTTTATAGTTTTGAAATAAGAGCACTTGAAATAATAACTTCAACAAAAACTAGTAAAATTTGAAGGAAAAAATGATACATTCCTAATAAATATAATAGACACCTTTGCCTTCATGAAGAGAAGTGGGGTGGTAGCTTGATGGAAAGGGAAGCAATAGTAAAAGTCAAGGGCTGAGTATGCCTAGTTCTAGAAAAATGGAAATATACTGAAGGGTCACCGAGAATTGGACAGTGAGTGTTTCAGGACAAAGCAGGACTCATTGAAGATCAGGAGAAGAACATGGGCTGAACAAGCAGCAAGTGCAATGTGGCAGGCCTGCCTGGATTCATCAGTATTTGTGACTTTGCCTTTAGGTACTGTTAGCATGAAACTAAGGTTTCTAGACTAAACAGACAATGTTTGCAACTTGCCAGTTTTGTTTAGGTGAATTTTAAAAAATGTATAAAGGTATTTTTATTTTTTGCAATGGTTAAAACTTTATATCATCTGGAATATAATAAATACTCCCTAGTCATTCGAGTCACAACTTTTTTTTAGTATTTTTATTAGTACATACTAATTAAATTACTCTTTGGGTGGTGGTGTGTATGCATAACACATTTTAATTGTGCTTACATTCCCTTCTTCTTTCCCTTCCCCTCCCAACACCTGCAATTTAAAGGAAGAGGTTTATTTCAGATTATGGTTTTCAGGGTATTCAGTCCATCATGGATTGAATTCAAGATGGAAACAGCACGGTGGAAGGCCATGGCAGGGAAAAGCTGCTGAACGTGTGGCAGGCAGGCAGGAAGCAGAAATGAAAGGAGGAACTGGGGCAAGAATACACTCTTCCTGGATGCACCCACAGCCACCTACCACCTACTAACAGCACATTCACCTATGAGTTCATCTGTGGATTCATGTGCTGATGAGTTTAGCACCC